TGCACTCGCGTCGACCCGAGACTTTGAAGATTGACATCTCAAAGTATAGGGGGGTCGAAGAAGACTCCCTCTTGAGATGGTTCGTCGAATTGGATGACGCCATAAGGGCGCGTCGCATCGACGACGGGGATATGCAAGTTGCATTTGCCCAGTCAAATCTGGCAGGACGTGCCAAGACTTGGGCACTAAGGCTCAAGTTGCACGACCCATATGCGTTTGGGTCGTTGGAAGTCTTCAAGTCGCGGCTCAGACAAACGTTTGAACCGCCTAGAGCTGAGTTCAGGGCTCGAACCGAACTCTTGAAGCTCAAACAGGGTAAGCGTGATGTGCACGCTTACGCGTGACGTATACGACATATTACGAGTTGTATAAGTTCCAATCCGGTGGATGAACACACGTTGGTTTCGGTGTTCATGCAGGGTCTTGCGGATGGTCCCGTCAAGACTCACCTGTTCCGACTTGAACTAGATTCACTATAAAAAACCATTTCCATTGCGGAACAGGAAGACTTTATTCTGAGACAGGCTCGCGCCAGCTCGACATCATATCGTCAACCGAGACGATATGACAACGGAGGTCCAGAGCCGATGGAACTCTGTTATGTAGAGAGCGAGAAGGCTCGCTCTACAGGCTACAAGAAGTTGCAGAGATGTAACAGATGTCAAAAGACAGGCCACTACGCTTACGAGTGTAGTGCACCTCGTCCAGTGTCTCGCAACACTGGGCGTAGTGACCGTCCACCCATGAGAAAGGGGCAGGGACGAGGGTCCGCAGTTGGTGCAAAGACGCAACAACGGGATGGACCGTCAAAAAACGGACAGGATCAGTAGGTGCGGAGCACCCTACTGGTCTAGCAACGTCAAAAGAATTTGTAGGCCTCTTGATGAAGGTTGCTCCCAACACACAAACGTTGTGCGTTGCTGCTCTAGGTAATAAGATCTCACTCATTGCCTCGTAACTCGAAGTGACGAATAAGTTGTCCCTTCGAGCTCTAGTCGATTGTGGGGCGTCTAACAATTTTGTGCGCCGCCAATCGCTAGAAGATGGTCACTTAAAGATTGATAAATGTGACGCACCGCCTACGAGGATGACGATACGCCTTGCGACAGGCGCATCCGTAACCGTCATGAAGCGTATAGTGAAGATTCACTTTACGCTAGAAGATACCCGATATGACGATGACTTTATCGTATTGGATTTGGATGACAAATTTGATGTCATCCTTGGAATACCGTGGCTCAGAAGGTACGAACCACGAGTAAACTGACATCGAACAGTAACGATGCCTGCCGCTTGTTCATCAGATGGCCATCTGATGAACGTTTTGGAGCGTCCACAAGCGTGTGGATGTACTACGAGTGAGTGCGATGGCCTCACTTGTGGTATGGTCGTTAGTACGACTGCACGAAACCTTAGTAAAACAAAACGTTACACTTCGGAGCAAAGTTCCGGCGGCTGTGAGGAAACACAGGCTGCGCCGAAGGTCCACCACTCGAATAAGTCTAGTAGACCGGGACAAAGATGTATCCATAGCGGGCAACATCCAGAAGAGAAACAATCGATCGCTCAGGTTAAGCGAAACGATAATCCTAGATCGACTGGAGAGTCTTTCGTAGAGGAAGTTAAGGGAACAAGTCCCGATATTACAAATACGGCGGAAATAAGCTCCCCGAAATCCGAAGGAAAAAGTGTCCGGAAATCCGAAAGAATAAGTCCTTCGAGGCCTGAGGGAATAAGTCCCCAGGAAGAGACAGAGTCATTGAATGTCCTAGTCATTGATGGATCAAGTGTAGGCGCTTATACACTTGATCTGATTGCGCCTCCGAAGTTAACTTCGGAGATCACTCAGTTGCCAACGCTCGAACATAAAAGGTTCTTGCGTGATCTGCGTAGTGGCAAAGTCAAGCAGATCTGCATACTCGTCGCTGACGACGAGTGTGTAGCCGACATAAGGTCAGTAAGAATGTTTACTGAGAACGAGAGAGTTCTCAGTAGTTCATCGATGGACGAGAGTGTCCTAGATAAAAAGACACGAGATGAGCGATATGACTCCCAATTGTGGGAATTGCTCAAGACAAATCCTATCTATGAAGATCTGGTTGAATTCAAGGTTGTATTCCCTGAAACTTTTCCGTGCGAATTACCGAAGGATAAAGGTATTCGACACGAGGTCGAGCTTAAACCAGGCTCGAAGTACTGTGTCATGAAGCAGTGGCCACTGCCTCGTGAACAAGTACTTGCGATCGACAAATTCTTTGCCGATCGTTTAGCTGCGGGCCGTGTGAGGGAATCAACTTCCGCACATAGCTCTCCGACCTTCTGTGTGCGAAAAGCAACAGGAGGGTGGCGGATTGTGCATGCATTGACAAGTTGAATGCTGCAACAGTACCGGCTCAGAAGCCGATACCAAGGAAGGACGTAATCATTGAGGTATGTCAAAGAGTAACATCTTTTCGTCCATGGATTTGATGGATGGCTTCTATCAAACCCTGTTGCGAGAACGGGACATACCCTATACCGCACTGAGCACGCCTAGCTGCATTCTCTGGGGATGGCTAGTAATGCCACAAGGGCTTAATAATGCCCCTGCCACGTTCAACAGATGTGTATCGCATCTGTTGAGACCAGTACGAGAATTCGCACCGAGTTATTTCGATGACGCTTTCATCCATAGTCGGGCTATGGATGGAAAGTCGGACGTTAAGGTTCACAGGTACCACGTCCGACAGGTTCTTACAATCATGCGAGAACATCAATTGTATACAAACCTCAAGAAGTGTATATTTGCAGCAAGCGAAATACCACTTCTTGGGTGCATCGTTGGTAAGAACGGTGTACGTCCTGATCCCGAAAAGATCAAGGCGATCGCCGACTGGCCTGTGCCGGTTGATGTCAAAGGTCTTCGAAAATTCCTTGAGCTCGCGGCGTATTTGCATAAGTATTCACGCAATTACGCCGAGATGACTGTACACCTCTCTCGTTTGTTGAAAAAGAACGAGAGGTGGTTATGGAACGCTGAATGTCAACGCTCCTTTGAGGGTATCAAGCAGAGCTTGATACAATCCCCAGTCCTAGCAATAGCCGATCAGGACAGGCCATTTCATGTGGTCTGTGATGCCAGCGATTTTGCAATCGGCTGTGCATTAATGCAGTACGATCTTGAAGGCGTTGAACGCGTCGTCTGCTACCATTCGCGTCAGCTGCAACCAGCTGAGCGGAACTATCCAGTGCATGACAAGGAACTCCTTGCCATGAAGCATGCACTCGCGAAGTTTAGAGTCTTTTTATTAGGAGATAGACCCTTCATTGTTTGCACTGGCCATGCGTCATTACGCACGGCAGTGAACAGCCCGCACCTTTTACAACGAATGGCGCGGTGGTTGTCATTCTTTGCAGAACACAACTTTACGGTCGAGTACAAACCAGGACGACTTAATGTCGTCGCTGATGCACTCTCACGTCGTCCCGACTTTGAAACAGTCGTGAAACCCAACGGTGAGACAGCCACTGTTGCGGTTATGACGTCCACCATGCCATCTTCAACGTTACATGATGATGTGAGGCGGGCATACGCCCAAGAAGGTGAGATTGTGAAGTTGTTGACACATCTCTCCCAACCATCTCGAGAATCGTTGGAACGATTATCTTCTGCGTATCGATCTGCATCAGATCGATACACTACTCGCAACGGTTTACTGTATTATCCAGCCGTTACTGGTGACACACCACGTGTTGCCTTACCAGATGATACTGATATGCGTTTGCGGATCATGTTCGAGTATCACGATGCTCCTACAGGAGAACATCGTGGCCGTGAGAGAACATATCTCACGGTGAGTCTCTCACGGTGAGTCGAGACATTTACTGGCCCAGCCAGTTTCAGTTTGTGCGCAAGTATGTCCGCGCATGCGAAGTCTGTCAACGAGTGAAGTCAAGTCCTTCACTGCGTGCACCTTTGCAGCCTCTACCCGTTCCGGCTGAGTGCTGGGAATCCATCTCAATGGATTTCGTCTTCGGGTTACCCAAAGACGCACGCGGGAATACGGGTATTCTCGTATTTGTTGACAGATTCAGCAAAATGGTACACCTTGTGGCTGTACCAGAGACAATCACGGCAAGTGGCTGTGCTTGTGTCTTTATTGACACCATCTTCCGACTTCATGGGTTGCCCCGTGAACTCGTATCAGACAGAGATCCACGATTCACTGCTGATTTCTGGCGTTCCGTGTTCAAATCACTCGGAACGCGCTTGAAGATGTCAACATCTGATCATCCAGAGTCAGATGGTCAGACGGAACGTGCCAATCGTGTCCTTGAAGAAATACTTCGAGGATACGTACACTCCTTTAAGAGTTGGAGTGAGTTCTTGCCAATGGTAGAGTTTGCCATCAACAACTCGGTGCATGCGTCCACGACACATACACTGTTTTACGTGAATGGATTACGCCATCCGCGTGTACCCACCTTACTAGAGTGTAACTCTGGTTTAAGGGGGGAGGAACTCGCGCGAGCAAAAACCGAATTGGTTCACGCTCATCACGCTCTGACGAAGAGGTCATTGCGTTTGATGCCGGTATCGATAACATCGATATCGAAGAAGATGATGCCAGTGAGAGCGCGGAATCCCTCACTGAAGAAAAGATTGATGTCGCTGCAGTGCACTCACAGCGCACTGAAGCTAACGAGTCAGCAGATGAGTTCATACTGGATCGTGAAACGGTAGTCCGTTTTGTGCAAGACTCCATCGCCGAAGCGGTGGATAAGCAAAAGCAAAACGCAGACAAGAATGGAAGGGCGAAACACTCTTTTATTTAATAAAGGTGACATAGTACTACTGTCTACGGTTAATCTTACAAAGCATGTAGTTACTAACTTGGGCAGTAGTAAACATATACGCAGGTACATCGGTCCATTTCGTGTATTGCATCGCCTAGGCAACGCACACACGATCGAACTGCCACGTAAGATGCGAACGCATCCCATGTTTTACGTTGGTCGGCTTAAGCCGTACCATCAGTACGCTGCTTCTTCCGTTGAAGAACGCCCTTGCGCTCAAGAATCTCGCAGAGAGCCTTGTGCTCCCGATGGTGGGCATCAACAAGGGTCTGAAGAGCAGCTATCTCATCCCGAGACCGGTCAACCATCCTACGAGCTACCCTTAGCTCGTCACGCAGAGATGTCAAATTTCTCTCGTTCTCAAGCTGAGCAAAGGCAAACTCAGCTCGATGCTTCGAGACAGTGTCCGCCATTTGGAGACGCCTGTCCCGCTCATGTTCAAGATCGCCGCGTAACGCTTGCGTTACGCAATCAAAGAAGCTCTCGGGAACACACGGATCCCCACGATCGTGTGGAGAGCGTCTTTCCTCCTCCCCCACCTCCATTAGAGGACTCTCGCGGTGGCCAGCGCTACCTAGTTGAGCAGCTGTTGAACCACCGCGACGTGAACGGACGTCGGACGAGTTATCTCGTCCGGTGGCGCGGCTATCCCCCGTCCTGGGATACTTGGGAGCCCCGCTCCCAACTGATGGTTGAAGTACTGGGTCTGGTTGAGCAGTACGACGCGGCACATCCTGTGCCGCAGAAGGACCGTCGGAAAATTTTTCCCGGCACGGTCGTAAAGGGATTTCAGGTTGTCAATCCCTTCGTACATCTCACTAGAGATACGTACGCGCCACCATGGGCTAGTAAGGAGGTAAGCCTCCTTAGGTGCTCGTGCAGAGTTGTTCACACAACATGGGCACGAGTCTCCCCATGAGAGGCAGGGTAACCCACCCTCCTTAGACAGACGATGCAGCTTATAGCGTGCACCTGTCGGGTTCGCTTTTCAAACTTATCACGAGCTTTGATTAGTTTGTCGTTCCAAACGTCACGACCTACATCCTCAAGGTTATGGATGTAGGCGTTCCAGGCTTGAAGCATTGAGGGGCCATCACGTTTGTGATTCCCGCTGTACCATCGATGCTTAAGGAAAGCATCGATGAGGAACTCATGCTCAGTGTGATAGTCTTTCGCACTGAGGTCAAGGTGATGGATCCTTGACGAATCGAACTATCGTGTTCGATAGCGATCACTTGTCGTCGCCGAAAAGCGACCCATGACTGACTTTGGAGGCAGCCATGCTTTCTTTTCAGGAGCGAGACGCAACACACTGCGGTCCCGCTATTCCTGCGACGTGCCGAAAGAAGTACTGGTACCTCGTTGCGAAATGGTGTCAATAGGAGAACCGACACCACTGTGAGCGCCCGAGTCTTGCGATCTCGAGCGCCTTCGCTTTGGCGATGTTCCATCTGATTCGTCAGATGAACCAAAGATGCTACGACGCGTAGCATCATCCATACCACGCTTGGCAGGCGGCTTGTTGTCAACCGCCTTCGATACGGATCCCTCTTCCGTATCAGGAGAGTATGAGACACCGAGCTCATACTCTGTGAAGCCATGAGTGTCTTCATGAAGAGCGTCTGCATCACCAGGTGATACAGACTTAGATGCAATAGCAACCGATGGCACATCGTTCGCTGCGGTTTCTGCTACGTCGTCTGCACAGAGACGTGCAGACGCGCTCTCAGCTGCCTTGTTCGAGCACCGCATGGTCTTGTTAACCATGCGATGAAACTGATGGACTGTGGACTCGGACCAACAAATGAAAACCCTGTCCCAAATGATTTGGGACGAGTATCCATTTAGTCAATCAGTCACTAAAGTGACTGATGGTTAAGGGGGGTGGGTGATGTAACGGGGTGAACCGTTACATAATAATTTATAAGAAATTGCTAATAGAACATAACTATAAAAGTTACATTCTCAGAATATTGTCTTAAGGACATACCTTCTGCAGCACTTACGAGTAGTTCCTAATTGGTTGATATAGGCCATTATATCAACCAACGAAGACACGCCACGACAGACGCACGCACTGAGTGGTCAGCAGATAGTTTATATACACATTTGTATTCAGACATAGTTAGATGAGGATAAATAGGGGGTTTATTACAGACATTAACTATTATAAATACAGTTCTACTTTTTACTCTAACCAAGTACTCGCTTCTCCTTACCGTCTTCCTCTGCACGTACCAGTGTACGTGAAGTTCCGAGACACCGCCTTATTCTGTCGTCAGAATAAGTAGCTTGTACTGTCACCAGTACAAGCTTCAGGGTGCCCCGTTACACGGTGTGTGCGCTGCACCGAGCCGGCGAGATGAACGGCAAAGTTCAGTGCTTTTGCAGTCTTCTCTAGTCTGGCGCAATCATTGATCCTGCTCCTGTCTTCACGCAAGACATCCCTGAGGAAGTGTTAAACAAATCTATTATAATCACACGCATCTCATAACTTTCATTCGTAAAAAAAAGACAGTCGCACGAACAGAACGAGAAGCTAAAAGGGTGGTCTCATTTAGGCACTGAAATAAATACCACTGCGAGTAGCGCACGCGCAGCCCGCGCTCGCTCACGACCGCAAATTACAGACGTCTTAGCGGCAGCCGTCCTTGGCTCGTTACGGTAGACACCAATGCGCCAATGCGTTCAGTGTCGTTTCTCTTTCTCCTTGCAAGCCATCGTGCGGATGAGCGTGTTGGTGAATTGCCTCTAGTCGACGTACAACGCTGAGCAAAAAAGATGGGTTGTCACAATTTAGATACATAACAAGCACGACATACCTAATGTGAATCAATTGTACGATACGTAGGAGGATCGGGTTTTTCATGGTATAAAAAGAGGATTTAATCTCCGACCACACTAGGTAATTCTACTGATTTTACTAACCAATAGGGAGAGCGTAAGGATCTAAAACTCTTGATAAGCGAATCAAAGTGGCCAAACGAAACAATTATAGCCAATAAGAGAGTAGATGGACAAGTTAAGCTTTTGGAGCTATCTCTATGACGTATCAGATTAGAGCAAGCAGTCATGTTTTGAATTGCACAATACAAACACCGAGTCCTTCTCACATGTTAAAAAAACAACCAAGCTCCGACCTCTCCGACAAAAGGTAACTCAATCACATATATTCTATAAACAACATTCGAGCTTCAAATTTCCGCCGAGGATGAGTCTGACCGACCTAGCACCTGCCAACACGAAGCGTGCCCGTGAGAATGCAGCGTGCTCATTCTGAAGTTTCTCGGAGAAGAAGAGGGCACTTGGGAGTACCTGAAACAGTGAATGCAGCGCGAAAGGGATCCTCAAGCCTTAGAAGCTGTGATGGAAAAGTTTGGTATGCATTTCGCGTGCTAGAAGGGCCGAAAGGGACAGCGCTTAGCTCGACACTCGGCCATGCAGTACTTTCGACAAGCCAAAAATTGGCTACTGGAGCAGTTCCCATAGCATCTAGCAGTGATTGAAAATAATCTACTCAAGAAAAAACAGACGCTTGAACACCATTGCACGAAGCGGTGTGTCAGGGTCGTTTGTGAACACGGTACCAGCATGCACAAAGTCAGCTCTCAAGAAAATAGTGGATTTCTTGCATTCAACTGCGGCTACTAGTGCTGGCTACCAAGATGCGGCGCTGTTGTGTCTGCTGTGGCTTCTCTTTGGGCGCGCATCGGATCTCTCAATTCTGCGTAAGGCTAACCTGTCTATCGGCTCAGGCGAGATATTCTTCGTCTGTTTCATGCGCGTCAAGATTTCGAAAGAGCAAGTTCTATCGCTCTTTCCTTACGAAGACTTCACCACATGTCCTCTGCTTGCCATGGCGCTAGCCCTCATGAACGACTAATCGCCAACTGTATCTGTGCTGAGTCAACTTCCTGAGAAGTTGGCTATTTAAAGTCCACATTAGCTCCAGGAACTCTGCTCGTCGATGTGCTCGATCACCCAGAGGTTGTGGTGTCGTCACCGGATAAATCGTCTACCGCTGCTAAGAAGGAGAATATCCCAGATGCTGCTCCTTTTTTGCACAGCTTTCTTAACCGTGTTCTAAATCGGGAGGGTGCTAAAGAAGGCGTATCCGAGAGCTTGAAGTCCCACCCTTTTCGGCGCGGACGGGCGAGGCATGCAAAAGGGGACGGATTTTGTGTACAGTGGATCTTCGACCCGAGACGCCTGGAGTATGACAGCGGCAAATAAGACCTCTGCGTACATCTTTAATTCAGCTTCCGAAGACCACAAAGTTGCTCGGGTCTTGAGTGGCGACACCCCGATGCAATCATCCCTCCCCTATCCCTTGATGTATTCGACCCCTGTACGTAGACAAATACACAAGCTGTTGCGTAAGCGCTCTTTAATGCGTCTCACGGGATCAAGATTACAATATCCAATGTGGACGAAAGAGCTTGTTGTCACACAATTGGAAGCGTGCGTCACTCAGCAAGGTCACTCCGTCAGCGATCTTCTGGATTGGTCTTTACATCTTACCTGCTACGCGAAGACAAGTTTGAAACCAAAATTCATCAAGTCTCAAGACAGCACGATCGACATCACAAATCATTCAATATTTCTTCATCAAGTTGCATTGATTACACAGTTAATCAAGGTCAACCAAAAGCTCGAATCTCGCGTCCCGTTGATAAAAGCTGAGGTCCACAAGAAAGCACAGCCACAAATTACACAAGAAAGAAGTGAGGATCAAAGCAAAGAACCACCAGCAAAACGTCGTCGAACGAGTTTGTCAATAAACATGAGGGACGTTTGGTCCTCCTGGTCAACTCAGTAACCCCGACTCTGGGATTCGTATGATAGCTCGAGCAAGCATATAAAATACACCTTTAAACTTGTCACTGCATTCATGAAGCTGTTTCTTGCTGATGGCTTTGTTCTTGACGAGAAGTCTCCTCAGTATAGAAACAATGTGTTGGAGTTTGGGGACCTCGCTAAAATGCGGTTACTTCCGTTTCTTGGTGAGCACAACGTCCTCAACTCCATGCGCAAGCTGCACAAATAGGGTCACTTAAACAAACACATCCAGAGATACAGAAAACTGTAAGCCCCTGGGAACATTGAAGATCCAGAACCTGCGCATAATAAAAACATCATTGGATCATTAGTCACCCCGCAGTACCCATAGATGTTGGTCTCCACGCCGTTGTATACAGGCTGCATGATACGGCACGAAAGAATGAGGACTACAACAAGTACATGTGAACAAGATCGGCGTGACGCGTTAGCTCTTTCGGACTCTCATGACAAATCGTATACTCAGGATGTACAATAATCCATTTCACCCTTAAGCTTCGGTGTCATCTCCCTCAAAATGTTCTTGGGACACGACGGATTCGTATCACGCGTCGGAGCGTAACTGTCGTGCTAGTGTTGGGAGTGGAGTTGTCATAGCGGACACTTTCTTCCGAGTTGACGCCCCCGCTGACAGGTTTGGTTATTATAATGGGTAACTTGTGTAGTTACACTAATTTTTAGAAGGTTCTTGGTTTGGTAGTGCACGATAGGGAAGGATCTCACTTCCAGATTGGATAAGACATTGACGAGGCCCCCGATGGGAGGTCTAAATGCATCTGGCGTGCGTTTTAATAAAGAAGTGTTCCATTACAATTTTTTGATTTTTAACAGCTAAAAGGTCGAGCTCTCCGTCGTAGTGAATACTTTCTTTCGGTGCTCAAAAATTATGTACGGATTGAACTCGCAAACCAACAGCACTTGGGTGACAGGTAGTTCAACATGTAGCTGCTTACAAACCTTTCAGTAAATACAACATAACGATCGATTCGCAGTCTAGTACATGCGTATAAATATACATTGACACGGGTGCACGTACGTATACGTTAGAGCACCACCATGTATAGCTCGTCCACAGTCCATATGTCGTAGTTGTCTAACACGTTGGCACTAATCACGATGAAGTGAAGCAGATCTGCACGTAAAATCCTGCTTTTAAGCACTCCCACATGGACAAATTAATTTGCCTCAATCGATCATATAAAAAGCTACCCTATCTAGTTATAAAAACTAACACATAATTACACACTACTACACAATTCCGTAATGGCTTTGTCCCGGTCGGAGCCTGTCAAAGGTCGGAGATTTCACAATATGGACACGTATCCGGAATGAAGACCCGGATCTTTTACCATCCCTACTGTAGGCAAGATGCGTGTTGCGAGAAAGAAGCGTTAGGTGAACAATAAGATTCTGTTGTATTACCTTACTAGTTCTCTCTTCTCTGCCATGCTCGCCAAAGCCCTCTGCTCCAGTCATCCATCTCACACGCATTCTGGCTCTACTCGAATCACTATCCTGCTTGTCACTCTGCGTCCACCTTTTTTGCACAGCGAGTTTGTGACATCATGTTTCCAAATAAATCCCAAGCCACCGGCCGAACACTCCGATCACCGTTACGTACCCTTGCACCCATTTCCAACATTCCAACACTCCTTTTCGGTCGTGACTTGCCCTCACACCCACTTCCATTTCTTGAGCTTGCGTATTCCCTTGTCCTTGTCCTCTCCATCTTTGAGCTCCTTGATTGCTTTTGATCGTCCTTAACCTTTCTTTAACCAATGCGCACGAGTGCGCGCAGTGTCGAGAGCTTCGTCGCGTCCAATGCCTTCGTGAGGAGGTGTGCGAGCATCCGCTCCGATCTGACATAGCTCGCCGTGATGATGCCGCAACGCGAGTAGTCGCAAAGGAACTTAAGGCGCACATCCACATGTTTTGCCTTCAGCGACGATGCCTCTCCCGAGATCTGCGCGATCGCCGCTTGGTTGTCCACCCTCTATAGCATCGGAAGCGCGGGCTCTACGCCCACTTCGCACAAAATCTCGCGCAGGCCGAGCAGCTCGCGCGCGACTTCACTCGCCGCGACAAATTCCGCCTCCATCGTCGACAGGGAGACGCCTCCCTGCTTCCGCGCACTCTAGATGACGGCCATCCCGTTCAGCATCACGATGCCGCCCGTCATCCACTTCCGGTCCGTCTTGTCGGTGGCAAAGTCGGCGTCGCTGAAAGCTTCTAGTCGCATCGCCGCACCTAGATTGTCTTTTGGGATCATCGTGACCTTGAGCGCCGCCGTACCTTTGAAGTATCGCGCGATGCGTTTAGCCAACTTCCAGTCTGCTAGTCGGGGCGCGTGGGCTCGTCTCGTGACCTTGTGCACCGCAAACGCTATGTCTGGGCGCGTGCAACATGCCACCCAGAGCAGCGAGCCGACCAGCGACTGGAACTGGCGCACAGTCGGTCCTAATTGCGCGCTTGGCGTCCCAAGAAGCTCCGCGTCGCCCTCCTCCAACTCGTATCAGCTGTCGTCGATCGGCGTCCACGTCGAGTTAGCGTCAGCGAGTCCGTTGTCGCGTAGGAGGTCTTTGATGGCCTCCTCCTGATCGAGCGTGTACCCATTCTGACCGTTGTGCGTCACGCGCATGCCCAGGAACTCGCTGACACGCCCCAGGTCCTTGTTCGACAACGACGAGAGGCTTGCAAAGAACCGCTCGACCGCCGCCGCGCTCGTCCTTGTCGCTAGAAGATCGTCGACATACACGCCGACCACGACGAGGTCGTTGCCGTCGCGCTTCCAGTAGAAACACATGTCGCTCTCACACTGCGTGAAACCGGCAGTAGAGAGCTTTGAGTGCAGCAGCTGGATCCACAGCCGGCCTGCCTGCTTGAGCCCGTAAATGCTCTTCCGCAGCTCCAGCACCAGCTCTCTCGCGTTCGATACGCCTTGCGCTCGTAGCGTCTCCTTCGAGACTGGCATGCCGCGCGGCATCTGTAGATAGATGCGGAGGTGCGGCTCCTTGTACGCTTTAACGTAGGCGTTGGGGATGTCACCATGCTTGGCAGACACCCCCCCCCACGTAGCCGCAAGCGCCAGGATCACTTTGACCGTCGATAGGTCCATCACGGCAGCGAAGGTCAGCGTGTAGTCGACGCCAAGCACCTGTTCGTTGCCACACGCCACCAGTCGCGCCTTCAGCCGCTCGTGGTCGCCCTGCGCATCTGTCTTGGTCTTGTAAACCTATTTGTTGTGCAGTGCATGCTGTCCTGCCGTTTGCCTTGTGATAGTCCAGACGTCGTTGGCCTCGAGCGCGGCGATCTCCTCTTGCATCGCCGTCTACCAACCTTCGCGCTTGCCGCTGCGCATCGCCTATCTGTAGTTAAGCGGATCGTGCTCAAAAGCAGCCTTTACGACTCCTCCGCTCGCGGCTGTCTCCTCCTGACGAGCAGCCGCTTCTGCGCGTTTCGACGCCCCGCGTATTCCATGCACCGCTCGCATTCATCACTTTCTGCTTTTACGCGTCGCCCTGTTGTTGTCTGTGCGACCATCGTTCGCCACTGCTACTGCTGGCGCGTCGTTCTTGCGCGGGTCTCTATACACACTGCACTGGGAGCCAAAAACGACAATTCCACGCAGACCCGACGTCTTGCCTGTCAGCACCTCGAGTTGTGACGCTCTCTTTGCAGTTGCTCGCGTAGGGCTCCGGTTGAGGATGTGAACGGCGTATAGCCTCGCGTCTCCCCAGAACATCAGGGGCAGCGCGTAGGCAAACATCATGCTGCGCGCAAGTTTCAGCACTGTTTGGTGCATTTGTTCCGTCTTGCCGTTTGAAGCCTGATTGCGCGCCTCCGACACTTGGCGTGCGACGCTCGTGCGCTCGCAGAACAGGTCCACGTTGGCGTATTATCTGCCGCCGTCCATGCGGAGCACGTGGACCTTGAACCCGAAAAGCTTCTCGAAGTGAACGAGGAACGCCTAGAGCTGCTTCGCCGCAGCGTCCTTCGTGCGCGAGAGGAAGACTCGGCAGTAGTTGCTCTTGTGATCAACGAAGTTCACAAGGTGAAGATTGCCGAGTCGGTCCTGCAGCGCCATTAGACCCTTCAGGTCCGAACAGATGACACCGCCGATGCGATCGATGGTCGAGGGCTTGCCGCTGTCTTGTTGGGACCGCGCGTTGCGCGTCTGCTTGCCCTCGAGGCACGACACACACGCCATGCGTTTATTGTTGCTGAGCCGATTGCCTGATGCCGGATCGCGCACCATGCGTTCGATCGTGTCGAACACAAGGTGGCCGAGTCGCTGGTGCCAGTGCAACAGCGATGCTTCGTACGGCTCGTCGGCGTTGGGTTCCGTGGCATGCGCTTCGAGCCGCCATGATCGCGTCGCCGCCTGCACCTTCCTTGTCGCGCGTGGCCTTCGTCACGACATACAGCACGTTGCTGTCAATTGTGACATCGAACGCGACCGCACCATCTCTGCACCGAGTGAGCGAGCGATTGTGGCCGGAGTGCACTAGGGCAAATCCTTTGTTCACGAGCTTGCCGTACGACACAGTGTTCTTTGCCAGTCGCGGCGCCAAGTACACATCCGTGAGCTTCACTACCTCCTCAGCACCGTGCGCGAGAACATCGAGGCGCACGCTGCCGACACGCGTTAGGTGAAGTGACTCGCCATCTGCCATTGCAATCTCGTGGCTGCAAGCCGTCGACTTGAGCAGCAGCGACTCGTCGTTGATAAGATGCCGGCTCGCGCCGCTATCGAGGATCCAGTCTCCTCGGTCGACGCCCGTGGCATCGGTAGCCGCAAGTACGAGGCCGCGCGTGCCATCTGTGGCTCGTACTCCGTCGCTCGTCGTAAGCACGAAGCCGCATGAGTCGTCTATGGCTCGCGCTCCATCGCTTGCATTGGTCGCTGCGGCGTCCTTGCCGCGCGAACCCTTCTTCCTCCTGTTGCGCTTCTTCGTGGTCGCCCTGCTCTTCTCGGTCAGTGCAAGGATCATGCTGGCGCCTCCACCCTCCGCGGGTGTCTAGTCGTCGTGCACGACTCGCGCGCGACAGTCGGAAGCGATGTTACCTGGTCGCCGACATCGGTAGCACGTGATCGCACCCTTGGGTTTGCCTTCCACGTGCGCGGCGACGACCTCACGACCCACCGCGCTGCCGCCGTGCTCAATGGACTGCGCGAAGTGCGCCAGCTCCTCGGCATGGCGCAGGTAGTCGAGTCGCGTCGGTTCATACTTGGATCACATCACGTTCATCAGCTCCGCCGAAGGGTGGTGGATGATGTTATCACGAGCAAGCGAGTCGGCACCACCTTGTGCCTCGCTGACGGCGACCATGTACAAAAAGTGCTCGGCCCAGGTGCGTCGTGCGTCCTTCTTGGCCATCAATAACTTCATCGCCAGGCTTGCAGTGATTGACGTCTTGAACGTGCGCAGGAGCTGCTCCATGATTAACTCCAGTGTGGGTGACTGCGTCCACCAGGTATCGACCTGCTTGTGATAGCACCTCTCAGCCATGCCGGCGAGAAAGTGCCCAAGCAGGTCGTCCTTGACTTCTTCGGTCCACCCGAAACCACACGACGCTTCCGCGAGGCTCACCGCGCGCAGAAACGTACGCCCCAGTCAAAGAATCCGCTCCCGAGTCCGCGGTACAGCTCAGTACCATCGAACTTGCGTGTGTTTAACTTCCTCTGGCTTGCCGACGGCATTCCGTAGCCGTTGAGGCCCGGTAGCACATAAGCTTGTGGCGGAGCGACTTGTTTCGGCGGCGGTAGCGCTGCATACTCCCGCGAAGGTGGCACAGACGCTGGTGCGCGATGGTACCCACGCGGCACCGGTGCCTTCTCCTCCGCGTCTCCGATCGCGTCAATCGTCATCGGTCGGCCGCGCATGTTGGCGCCGATTTTGGAGGCGAAAAGCTCGCTCTCTACGGCCCCGAGCATGCGCTCCTCCTCGTCTCGCACTATCTGCGACGACTCGAGGCTCGCCAGTCGATCGGTGAGTGCGGCGAGCGCGGCGAGGATCTTATCGTCTCGCTCCCCGCTCTCGCGAGCGGGTCCATCGTTGACGACTGCGGGTGCGATAGGCGCACGCGCTGGCGAGCCGCGCCCAGGCGTGGCTCGCGGGACACCCCCTGGTGTTTTCGTAGTCGGTTCGGTGGTTGCGGCCATTGGGCTCATAACCTGTAGTCAAGATGCGTGTTGCGAGAAAGAAGCGTTAGGTGAACAATAAGATTCTGTTGTATTACCTTACTAGTTCTCTCTTCTCTGCCATGCTCGCCAAAGCCCTCTGCTCCAGTCATCCATCTCACACGCATTCTGGCTCTACTCGAATCACTATCCTGCTTGTCACTCTGCGTCCACCTTTTTTGCACAGCGAGTTTGTGACATCATGTTTCCAAATAAATCCCAAGTCACCAGCCATACACTCCGATCAACGTTACGTACCCTTGCACCCATTTCCAACATTCCAACAACTACATGGGTAACTCTAGGTGCACCTACGTATATTGCTAAATATGTAACGGGGCTAGAATGACCCGTACTTAGCGTACACTATTTCTAACGCTTTGAGGAAGCTTAAAGCCCAAGTCTTAGGTATTAAGTATTGTTAACTCTGTTTATATTTTTGTCTTTTAAATCATCCTAAGTACGAATGGTTCCCTTGGACTCGTGGGAACCACTCAATCTACGTGCATATATCTTACTGGCTAATAATGGTACTGAGCCCATTTAACCAGCAAAAATAAACGACGTGCTACTTTCGCTACTCCGAAAGTAACACCCCTACTTAAGTAACATGTAAGCTTAATCGAACCCACTTATGTAACGGGGTGGCCCATTACATCACCCCCTTCTTAAGACAGCACTCACGAACCGTGAGTGCTCAACCACAAGACCCAACAACGCACAAGCCAAACGATGACTGAAGACGCAGACGCCAACACCAAAGCACATCCGCGCAGCGGGAGTTTAGTCGACCACGTGATGGATCGGCACCTGATCCCTTGGGCGCTGTATGACTTGTCCGGAGCTCGAGCTCCGGACTCTCTCGAAACGATGCAGGACTACTTCCGGCGTTTCCGTGGGTTGCGTGAAAAGAGTCTTGATGGCATCTCGTACGAGTCGCTCCAGCGGTCATGGTGTGCGTTCATCCGGCGGTGGAACCGGATGCTTGAAGACGGAAGAAACTTTCAGCAGTGGCTGGCCAATCGTGAAGATATCCACGCCGATCATTCCATCGGTGCACTGCGCGAGAAGATCTGTGAAAACGCATGGAACGTAGATCGACTCTGCTACGTTCACGTGCACGAATCTTGTTATTCCTGTGACTCGATGCCTCGTCCAACTCGCGAAGCTTGGCAACGACACGTCGCTGAGTATCCACTCAGCGAGTATGAACAGCTCTGGATCGGACGATACAAGCACAGATTGATGGAGCGCAAGACTGCGGTTAATCGTGGCGCGTCACGCTGGCGACATCACTCGCGTTCTCGAGGTCGTGGTGCCATGCACTCGCCACGACGTTCTCGTTCGCGTGATCGTCGCGATACACGCTCGTCGCGACATTCTCGTCGTCGCTCTTCATCTCGTCGTCGTGGTGAAACGTCACCACGACGTTCTCGCAATCGCTCTCGGTCTCGTAGTCGTGGTGACACTTCACCACGACACCGTCGTCGTGCATCTCGTTCTCGCTCACCGCGAGAACACACAGGTCGTCGACCAAGTCTGCACCAAGCGTGTGCAGGGACTCGTAAGCCCGAACGACGTCCGGAACGTCTCGAAGAAGCGAAGAGCGTGGTTCCCATGTATCCTGCTCGGGTGGAAACCCGAGCCAACGTACACGATACTTGCGCGCGGTTGGAACCGCGCGCTCATGGTGTCGCGACGATGTCGTTTCGCGACGAGGGTCCTCGTGACCCAGTAAACGCTCCACGATCCAGCGCTTCTGGCCTTCCGCGTCCACAAGCGGTGGTGGACCCTTACGATGGTACTGCTGGCGTCCTGGTTGCCCAGGACGATGTAGATGCGGCTGTGAACAAGGCTGTTGATGCCCAGCTGGAGGCTGAAGCTGCCCTTGACCGAGCTGCGCGGGCTGAGAGAACAGCGAACGAGATTCGACAGTCGAACCGCGAGCTGCTTGAACGGATGCGGAACCTGGAACGCCAGGTTCTTGAGCACGCGCAGACTGGGACGCAGCCGCGTCCGATGTCACTGGCGTGCGAGCAAGGCGAGAGGGAAGATCGACCTATGACCCTTTGACTCCGAGGACGGAGCCAACCCGTGAAGCGTAGCTGGACGGTACTCCTTGAGCCGCCCGACGTAAAACGTCGGGTGAAGTCGCAGTGACGAAGGGATGGCCAGCGTGTATGCGTCGCCGATCGCCTTGAGTACCGTGAATGGTCCGATGAAACGTGGCGCGAGTTTGCTCGCGCCTAGATTGGTTGCTGCTGAATCTCGTAGGCCTTCGGTAGTTAACAATACACGATCACCCTTCTTGAATGTGCTCGTATTCTTTCTTCCACGTTTGTCTGCATTCGCTTTCTGTTTATCCGCTGCAGATCGAAGAGTATCGCGTACAAACCTCGTGATGGCTTGACGTTGGAGTATAAACTCTGACACAGCCATGTCATCAATTGGTCGCGCCAATTCAATCGGCGCGTAGTTAGCTTTAGGGTTTTGCTTACTCGAAGAAGGATCGATTAGCATCTGTGCAGTCCATTGAGCGAGCGGGGACGCCACGTCACGTGGCGTCGAAACAGAAGACTTCGCCTTGGAATGGTTGACAACATTCGCGCTCAGAATACCGTGAGCTTCACTCGATCGTTGTTTATCGTTATCACCCCCCCCGCCAGAGTGGAGCCACGAAGAGCCGTGGGCTGACCCACGGCAAGAAGAGTAGGTACACGAAGATGACGCAAAAAATGGAGCTAACTCCATTGACGCGTGAACCGCGTTGTTTAGTGCAAACTCCGCGAGTGGCAAAAACGCACTCCAACTTGTAAAGGACGTTGCGTAACTTCGAAGACATCTTCGAGGACCCGATTAACTCGCTCTGTTTGCCCATCCGTTTCCGGATGGGCTGCTGTCGACATTTGCAGCTTTGTGCCAAGCAACTCGAACAATGACGTCCAAAAAGCAGATGTGAAACGAGGATCACGGTCCGAGACAATGTTGTCTGGTAGACCGTGATGGCGAAACACAGTGTCAATGAAGTGCACCGCGGTCTCAGCCGCGGTGATCGTTGCATGAACAGGCACCAGATGTGTCATCTTGCTGAATCTGTCGACAAAGACCAGAATACCCGTTCGGTCTTGGCCATCTGGTGCAAGCCCGAAGATAAAATCCATTGAGACTGACCTCCAAGCCTCAGCTGCAATTGGCAGGGGTCGCAGGGGTGCCTGCGACGATGGAGATGGCTTCAAGCGCTGACATATTTCGCAGGTGCGAACCCAGTTGCGAACCCATTTGTACATGTGGGGCCAGAAGAAGTCACGCGAGACAGCCGCGAATGTCTTTTTGCGGCCCAGATGACCGCCAATTGGGGCATCATGGTACTCGTGGAAGATACGAGCACGCAAATCCAAGTCATTCGCAATCACCGTTCGAGGTGCATCGAATTTGTCGATGCTATATAACAGCAAATCACCGTCCATACTGTATCGTTGAATGTGATCACGCTTCGTTCGCGAAAGAGCTCCCAGTGCAGCCTCACTGGGAGCGCGCAGATAGGCGATAATGTCCGCGTAATCCGGGTCGTTCGCGTAAGCCGCGACAATTTCATCGAAAAGGCATAACTCGGATGTGACCCGAGTTAGATTCAACGACACACACGTCGCACATCGATCGTCTTCATCTTCGTCGTCAGTTGCCTGACGACTCAGTGCCATACGAGGATCGTAATCTGGGCGTCGTGACAGTGCGTCAGCAAGAATGTTGGTCTTGCCTGGCTTGTAGTGCACGACGAAGTTGTACTCGGAGAAGAAAGAGAGCCACCGTGCCATCCGCTGTGACAGGTGTGGACTCTTCATTGCTGTTCGTAGCGATGCATGATCAGTATACAGGGCGAACGTGCGTTCGCCCAGTAGGTGGACACGAAACTTGATGAGTGCATAGTGCATCGCTAGCAGTTCCTTATCGTGAACCGGATAGTTCTTCTCTACCGGCTTCATCTGTCGTGACTGGTAGCTCACGACTCGTTCACGGCCCTCATGATCGAACTGCATGAGGGCGCAACCAATTGCAAAGTCACTTGCATCACACACCACGTGAAACGGCTTGGTGTCGTCAGGGAGTATCAACACTGGCGCCGACGCCAGGCTCTTCTTCACTGCGTCAAAGGCTGCTTGATGTTCGGGACGCCACGACCACGTGGTGTCTTTCTTCAGAAGTGACGACAGGGGCTGTATAGAACCGGCGTAATCTTTTGTGTACTTATGCAAGTAATTAGTTAGACCGAGCCATTGACGTAACTCCGTAGGGTTCTTGGGTGTGGGCCAAGAACAGATTGACGACACCTTCTCTGGATCGGCTCGAACACCCGATATACTCCCGTAGCAGCCCAGCACCGGAATCTTTGGTGCACAGAATGCACACTTCTTCAAGTTTGCATATAACTTGTTATCTCGCATGACTCGAAACACCTGCTTCAGGTGTTGAAGGTGAACTTGGACAGCACTGAGGTTGCCCTCAGCGCGACTGTGGACAAAAATGTCATCGAAGTAGCTAGGAGCAAAGTCTCGAAGCGGTCTCAACACTTGAGATACCATGCGATTGAAAGTGGCTGGTGCGTTCTTCAATCCTTGTGGCATCACCAGCCACTCCCATAGCATACCACTCGGGGTGGACACCGCAGTGAGTGGTATGTCACTCTGTTGCATCAAGATCTGGTAGAAGCCATCGGTCAGATCGATGGCGCTGAAGATGACGCTACCTGACATGGAGTTGAGAACCATGTCTTTCCTGGGGATAGGCGTTTGGGCAGGAATAGTGGCATCGTTGAGCTTGTTAAACGCATGCACTATACGCCATCCTCCCGTAGCCTTCTTCACGCAGAAGGTTGGGCTCGAATGGGGTGAGACACTCTCACGCACATGACCGGCCTTGCGACGACCTTCGAAGAATGCATCAATAGCATCGACTTGGTCTCGAGGCAACGGCCACTTGCGTGTCACACAATATTTTGATCCTGGCACGAGATCAATCTCGTGCCGCACGCCACGATCGGCAGGGAGTTCGGCCGGAATCTTGTCCGGTAACACGTCGGCGTACTCTCGTGCAATGTCGTAAACAGGGTTACCAGACTCGCGCAGAGCCTCCCAAGATTTCGACGCAAATCTTTCTTCGCGCGCTGACTTTTGCTCAGCGCTTCGAGGGCGCGTCATTCGCTCCTCATTCGGCTCATAGGTCACCTCGTTGGTGACCAGACATACTTGTTCCACCGTGCCTCCCTTGAGGTCACGTAGAAAATGCTTCCAGGAGAGTCCTGGAAGGCTCGTAATCGACGACGCGTCGCGAGGTGGACTCGCGACCTCAATGTATTGGCGCCTTTGTGGACTCCCGTCCATGTACACAATAGCGTGGACACATTCCAACGCTGAGTTCTCGTAGCTTGCGTCCCCATCGTGCTTCGAGTCCATGCTCGAAGCTGGTGATCCGCAGTCAGGTGTTAAATCTGCACCCCCCTCTAGACGCTGGATGTCCTCATCCAGGACATCGAAATCGCGTGACGGGAGTAGTCCATACTCGTCCGTCGACGCATAAAGCGGGAGCCCCTGCTCTACCGCCACAAACTCGTGTGGGAGCCCCTGCTCGACCACGTCTTGCTCATGTGGGAAACTCTGTTCGACCACAGTAGGTGACGATGGGAACCCCTGTTCGACCATCATGTTCGCACGTGGGGACTCTTGTCCATCCACGTCACACTCGGTGCCGAGCCCCTGCTCGGCCACATCTTGCCCTTGTGGGAGCCTCTGCTCGACCACAATGGGTGCAGGTGGGAACACTTGTTCGTGTTCGACCACTGCTCTCTCGTGCGGGAACCGCTGTTCGACCGCGTCGTCGCCGCGCGGGAGCCACTGCTCGTCCGCGTCGTCATTACGCGGGAGCCACTGCTCGTCCACGTCGGACTCCTCGCTGCAAAGAGAGGAGACATCATAACTCGTGCGTAGGGGCACGGAACAAGCGGTACAGAGAGGGCCATCGCTTACTCTGTGTACCGCCGGTGTCGTGGATGTACGATCCACAACTGTAACGTTCGGCCAATCACTAAGAGACACCAAGAGATGGGTGAACACTTCGCTGACGTCGAACTTGCTTCGACGTATCACTGATCAGGCTAACCAGTCGATCTAGGGCTTATAGCGTGCCAACCATGGCATGCCCAGGATGCAATCGAATGAATAATTCATTTCAATCACCAAGAAATTGTCGTTACTGCGAAAGCCGTCAAACGTGTACGGCAACGACACTTCGCGCCGCGATACGCGGCGTGGTTTCCCGTCAGCGAGCTTGACAACAACTTGGCCAGGTCCCTCGTGAATCTGGATGCTGGGTGGCAGCATTGACACGCAAGATTCACGGAAGAAATTGTTTGTCGCTCCTGAATTCAGGAGCGCTCGTAGAGGTCGCCGGATACCGGCGACATGTAGATTAACAATAATCAGGCGTGAATCACCACTCGTAGTGGTGGCATTTGACCGTGCACGCAGCACAGATTGGCTGGGAGGTCGGGCTGCCACCGGTGGACCCGGACCTCCCTTCAAACCAGTAGGGCGCCCTGCACCTACCGGTCTCGTCCATTTTTTGGACGACTGATCGGAGCACCTCCCTCATGATGGGTGTCCGTCGCATGCACCGACATCGGTGCTGGCGCGCGGCATTCAGCCGCGCGATGTCCCGGCTTTCGGCATCGAAAGCAGATCATCTGACGTCCGCCTCGGACGTCGCCCTTGTAGGCTGTAGCGCGTCGTCGGTCACCCGACGACTCAACTGCATCGATCTCCATAGGTTCCGGGCCCGCTGATCTGACAGCGGTAACAACTGAAGGCTTGGTATAGGCCTTGGTGACTCTGAAGTCCTCACGGAGAGCGATAGCGAAAGCCTCCTCCAACGTGGCAGGCTCTGCTCGTTCCAGCGAGAGGCGAGTCTGCCCTTCACGCATGCCATCGACAAACACGTTCACTTGTGTATACATGTCCATGGGATGCGTGATAATGCAAGACGCCAGATGTCGAGCCATCTGCACGTAGTTGCGCATGGACATCTTACCCTGTCGCAGGGACAGGAACCTTGAACGCACCAACTTCTCTTCCTGGGGCGGCTCGAAGGCGAGTCGAAGGTCACTCTGGATGGCTTCCAGAGTGGGGGAACGCAAACTCGTCAACAACGAGTTTTCCCAAGGCCCACTCCTTGGCTTTCCCAGTGAGACGGGAAAGAAGGAAATTGACCTTCGCTTGAGGAGCCTCGATAAGTCTCGAGGCGATAGCGATATCGATCTCTCTAAACCAACGAGACAACGACAAGCGTTCTTTTCCTTCGCCAGAATAGGCGGAGGTCTCCATCTTCACGGCATCGTTCCGTGAAGTCCGCGAGGGAGTTAAACCTCGCCGATGGGATTTGGCGAGCTCGCGAGCCATGTAGTCGTGTATGGCGAGACGCTGTCCATCAGGAGTCGCTGATCTCATCAGCGACACAACGAATGCCTCTCCAGATATCGCCGCGAGGCGATTTAGGGCATCCCACTCAACACCAGTGAGATGGGGAAAAGTCGCGTGCTCCAGACTCACGTCTGGAGCGTCAAAGTACGACGAATCGCTCATCCCAAACTCGGACATGGGAAGGACTACTAAGTGCTACCAGGTGTAACGGGGCTAGAATGACCCGTACTTAGCGTACACTATTTCTAACGCTTTGAGGAAGCTTAAAGCCCAAGTCTTAGGTATTAAGTATTGTTAACTCTGTTTATATTTTTGTCTTTTAAATCATCCTAAGTACGAATGGTTCCCTTGGACTCGTGGGAACCACTCAATCTACGTGCCTATATCTTACTGGCTAATAATGGTACTGAGCCCATTTAACCAGCAAAAATAAACGACGTGCTACTTTCGCTACTCCGAAAGTAACACCCCTACTTAAGTAACATGTAAACTTAATCGAACCTACTTATGTATCGGTGTGGCCCATTACAAAATACGCCAACGATGTTCGCCGAATACACCTATATCTGTCGCTAAATGTGCCTACATCTGTCGGTGAATACACCTACATGTTTTGTGAGCTATCCATTTAGCTATGATGACCTACATTGACAAACACTGACACAACATCCTGCTTTCAACAAGCGAAGAGCCTTTATTTAGCAAGAAAACGTCCTCTATTTAGTCTCAGTCAGGCCTCTTTTTCCTTCTTCTCATCGTCATGTCCGGCACTGTATTCCTTTCTGGATCAGACGATTTCAGACTTCTAGCACATAACCATAATGTGTAATACATAGTCATGAATCTCCCTCTCTCTCTTTTTCCTTCTTCGCAGCTTGTCGTCTACATGATCGTATCTTCACCCCTGGTGGTGCAGCTCACAATATTAAACCTTCTTTTACTTCTGCATCAGTCTCCTCGGCTAGTCTCGATGCTGACATTGATGCTTTTGCTGCTCTGATGAAGACACTGCTGATACTATCAATCCTTTCGCTTCCGCTCCATCATGGAGTTGTAAAGACCCCTTCTTAGTCGGGCCATTCGGAAGTGAAAAAGTAGGACGATAAAAAGGTTGCGAATTCTGCTATATGAAGGAGGTTTGGGAGTGGAATAGCAACGGAGCCTTGATTAAAGTGGATGTTCTATTGCTACATTACGGACGCTTTCTTGCTAAACTGTAGCTGCCCCCTTAGCATTCATCGATGTAGTAGACCTAAGACAACTGGATCGCTCACGAGACATGTCGGGCTGCATTCAGCAATAAATGCAGGTGTCATTCATACTTTCTCGAATCTGATTCCCGCCGCTACGAAGGACTTACTGTTCAGGGTACGGGGGTCAGGTAACAAGCTCGTTGGACGTCGTCGTCGTCGCTCGGCTGTTGTTGCTCGAGGGCAATGTGTGTAGCTTGCATTGCATGGGAACACATTCTCTAACACATCAGGTGGTATGGAAAGGATTACCAAGCACCGAAGCGTCGCGCAGGACTCGATCAGCACGGCCATGTGGTCTATCGAGCAGACGGCAGCGCGTGTAAAGGGGAGAAGTTGGACTGTGGTCCGTGGCGAGTTCCAAGCTGCTTCACACGCGATCTGCCTCCTGTGCGAGTATGGATATCACGACGACACTGATGGTATGCAGTCTACCGCAGGACCAGCTGGAGCCCCGCCCATTGTGACCCATACGTAAGAACGCAACGGAAGTCACGGAGCTACTTCATCTACTCGGGCTAGTAAACGAACGAGTGTGACGCTGCTTTAGCCCACCCGAGTGCCGACTTACAGCTGTGTTTTCTTATCGACAAGCAGCGTAGCTGGTTGTCCGGGTAAGTGGTTGCATTGCAGCAAGCACTCCATCTTGTACTGCATCCACGAGACTCTACCCCGTCGCGTTCATCAGGTTCACGACACATGTGAGCTTACCACACGATCGTTCTGAGCCACCAAACATCTTGCAGCTGCACACTTGCTTCGAGCGCTGGAACTCCTTGAGAAGCAGTGACAACTTCCGTTTCCACTGTTGTGCCAGCCACAGGAACGCAGCAAAGTGATTGATCGAAGACTGAAAGGTGGCGACCGGGCGGCAGGGAGCAGGCACGTTAGCACAGCCAGTGCGAACGTTGTGAGCGCGCGCTCGAGCGTTTGAGGTATATTCGTCATCAGAAAACAGTCGTCAGTGACGCTATCGAGGGCAACCAGTCCTGCGGCTATGGAACTTCTAAAGGAGGAGTTTCATGATCGTCGGTGTACAAGTCAATGTGCGCAAGATGTCTGGCAGGTCCTGAGCCAGGGTGTGAGCGCCGGTTGTGGCTGACTTCTCCGTGCGAGCCTGTCGTCTTCTTGGATCCTGAATGAAGTCATTCAACACGAGCGTGAAGCCGAGCTCCAAGTGCTGCCGTTGCTGCAGTTCAATGGCCGCGTATCACGATGGCCTTCAGCTGACGAAGACCGATTCGTCAGTATTTAAAAACGCTCGATGCTGGAAAAGATGGACCCCTCGGAATATAGCAGCATTACGCTCGACCCAGAGATGCACTTGGTAGATGAAGCTTGACAAGTACCATATCGTTCGAGCTCGGTCCTGGTGGCGTTGGTGTCTTTTGGAAAAGGGTTTGCAAGCACATGATGTCGGTTGATGGTGTTGATGGCGATTATCACAGTGACTCAAGTGTTTGGACATGACCAGTCACCGCCGCGCTCTCGTCAGTCTTGTGTCGGACGAAATGACTCCAACACACTCGTGCGTTTGGGCATCCGCAAAAAATGTGCGCTGCGGTCTCGTTGCTCCTCTTGCGATTCACGAGTTTTCCGGAACACTTGCCACCGAGTGGTCAATATGAATTGGTCTAGCTGCTAGTCGCTTTGCAATTACGTGCCCCCCACAGGTGCTCAGTGAGCCCACTGGCTTGAAGCAGACATGGGATGGACATTGAGGTGCTGCTGCATAAGATCGTCGATCCATGAGCGCTTGCGCTTCGAAGCAGGTAAGCCAATGCTGCACTACTAGACGTTGTTGGTGAGTTGTATTTCTTCGGCTTGTCTGATTAAATGCTCGGTGTTGTGTCAATGCCTTCCATCGGCGTCTTTTTCTTGGTGTTAATCTTGTCTCATCGCCTGCCTTTCATCTATGTAGTTTCCCTGCTGAAGCAACACCACTCGCACGCTGTCTACTGCTTCGGTGATCTGGCTGCAACCAGTACTTCGTCGGTCCATTGTATTCAACAAGTGGAACAAATTCGGCGTTGCAGCTTCTGAAGTGGGGAACCTCCAGTGGCAAACGTGGGGGTTACCAGCCAATGACACAAGCTTAACGACTGATCAAGGCGTCGGACGACGTGTACCCGTGTATCATTCCGATTCCTCTGTCGTCTCCCTGCTGGCGGCTTTGAAGCCGACTCATGCTTCCATCTAATTGAGCGAGTAAAGACGCTCTACGATGGACGTGTCTACAACAGAAGAATGGGTGCGACTGAAAGTGATGCAACGAATGGATCGACATGCTTGAAGTGGATGATCTCGCGTTCAATGGGGCTCTTGCTTTACATTCCAGCACTAGGGACAAAGCAAACCCATTTCTAGAACAAGCACATGATCACACACACGGAATCACCAAACCGTCGGATTGACACCTTTACAATCAGAGTTGATAACGCCTTGCACTGACAGTCTCAATACATCAGCATCTCGCACGGCTCCACGTACTTCTTTGCAAATTGTAGACCGTTCCTTGTAGGCTGCGCAAAGGCAATGAGATGTTTAGCAACGTGCATGCCGTAGATCGACTTCTCACGCACAACATCCACCATTCGAGTTGCGATGCATTTCCTGCGGAACAGCGGATGTACCCAGAGCTGGCAAACACCGACAAGTGCCGTGTGTGGAATGGTTGAAGCAGTTACAGCACCAGATTCAGCTATGCAGCTCTCCTCATTATTGGCATTCGTCACGGTTGACGTCCCTGGTTCTAACGTAAATGCTTTCGTGATGCACTCTGTGTTGACACAGCCAACCACTTGATGGTCTTGGATATAGATAAAGTGGCTACGCTGCAAAAACACCTCCTTGTCGGTCACCCCCAGTGCATCATCAAGCACTGCCTTGATCTCCAAGAGCTTCTTCACATGAGCACTCGCGTCATCTCGTCGGATTTCCACGATCCTCGCGTCAGTGTCTGGAAACGATTTCAACACTCGCTCGGTTTTCCACTTTGAGAAAGTGAGACCGCGTTTCGATCGTTTGCAAAACTTCCGGTGCTCCTTCTCGTCCTCTTCTTCTCCCACAGTGTACAGCAGTTCACACGTGGGACAAACCACGTGCTTGCCAAAGCTACGCTGCCCAACATCAATGTACGATTGCGTAACCAATGGATGCACGTTACCAGACGACAAATTGGATACCCGATGTCTAAAAGAAGGTGCAGCTCTCGGTTCAGGGGTACTGGTGGTGGAGGTGGTCAAGTGATGGGCGACCTTTCGACTTGGACCATTGGAGGTGAGCCATAAGGACATTGGCGAGCTCCTTAGTTTCTTCACTGCTTTATCCACGTGACAAGCGCTTGTATTGCTATGTTTGCGCTTTCGCATAGACGTGGATGCACTGCTGCTGGAATAGCTCTTCCGGCACTTTAGGACCGTGTCGTCGACCCTCGCCATTGTCGAAAAACAAGGCGTTTAATTTGAGATATTTATGCAAAATCTCGAGATTTCTAAAGGGGCATCGAGGGCAGAAAGTAGAGTACCCTGTGAGTGGTGTCGCGGTTACGGTATACGTATACGAGAGCAGCCGTGACCGAATCAGGTTCTGATTCTTCAGATCGCGGATCGACCACATCATGTGCCGTATCATGTTGGTCTTGATCGAAACCTACGATCTTGCATGCTGCGACAAAAAATGATTGGTGCAGCGTCGTCCTCACCTCGTCACACGCTTAAACCACGCTTGACGTCACTTTGGCATTCGCACTCGAACGCTTGAGCTCCATTCCTCCCTCCCTCTGTCCTTTCGACTCGACAACTTCTGTACCAATGGCTTCGCTCGGAGACTACCGCGTTGCTGACATTTCGCTGGCTGATTTTGGCCGCAAAGAGATTGAAATGGCCGAGATCGAGATGCCTGGACTTATGCAGAGCCGCACGGAATTCGGTCCGCAGCAAGCGCTCCAAGGAGCTCGTGTCGCTGGCTCACTACACATGACTATCCAGACTGCGGTGCTCATTGAGACGCTCAAGGCTCTGGGCGGAGACATTCGATGGTGTTCATGCAACATCTTTTCCACGCAGGATCACGCTGCCGCTGCCATTGCGCGCGACGGATCGGCAGCAGTGTTCGCCTGGAAGGGCGAGACCCTCGAAGAGTATTGGGAGTGCACTCTGAACGCTATTACGTGGCCTTCGGACGACGGTAAGGGCGATGGCCCTGACATCATTGTCGATGACGGCGGAGACATGACGCTCTTGATCCATGAAGGCTACAAGGCTGAGAAAGCGTTTGCAGCCAATGGCAGTGTGCCGGACCCCAGCTCGACGGACAATGCCGAGATGAAATGCGTGTTGAGTATCATTGCTCGTCTTCTCAAGACCAACCCGACCAAGTGGACGCAGATTGCTCAGCGCTGCAAGGGCGTGTCAGAAGAGACGACGACGGGCGTTCACCGTCTGTATCAGATGGAAAAGAACGGCACGTTGTTGTTCCCTGCGATCAACGTGAACGACTCGGTCACCAAGTCCAAGTTTGACAACCTCTACGGCTGTCGCCACTCGCTGCCTGATGGTATCATGCGAGCCACGGACGTCATGCTGGCAGGCAAGCGCGTCGTGATTTGCGGCTTTGGTGACGTTGGTAAGGGCAGTGCTCAGGCAATGAAAGCTGCTGGAGCGGTTGTGTACGTGACCGAGGTGGATCCTATTTGCGCCCTGCAGGCGTGTATGGAGGGTTTCCAGGTAGTCCGTCTTGAGTCGATTGTCTCGAAAGCGGACATTTTCATCACCACGACTGGCAACAAGGACATAATCATGGCAAAGGACATGCTGAAGATGAAGAACAATGCTATTGTTGGCAACATTGGTCACTTTGACAATGAGATTGACATGGCTGGTGTCACTACGATTGCCAAGCGCCAAAACATCAAGCCGCAGGTGGACCGCTTTATCTTCGAAGACGGCCACGCAGTCATCATCCTGGCCGAAGGTCGTCTGCTGAATCTGGGCTGTGCAACGGGTCACCCGTCGTTCGTGATGTCCAACTCGTTCACGAACCAGACTTTGGCTCAAATCGAGCTATGGAAGGAGCGGGACACGGGCAAGTATGCCACTGGAAAGGTGTATGTGCTGCCAAAGGAGCTGGACGAAAAGGTCGCGCGTCTGCACTTGGACAACTTGGGCGCTGAGCTTACCGTGCTGTCCGACGAACAGGCCGAGTACATTGGTGTCAAGTCCACGGGTCCGTACAAGCCGGCAGCTTATCGCTACTAGGCGCACGTTGTCCGCCTTGTTCGTTGCGACATTGTTGCAGTGGGTGAAAGGTGCTGACGCAACTTGGGTTCTCGATAGAGATAGTGCTCGTGATCGAGTGCTTTCATTGTGCTGACAAGCGTCTTCGTGCTGCTTGCTCCACCACAATGCTCTGTATATTCACGTGGCTCACGCTGGCCTTTCATGCTTGACTGCTCTAGTTCATATTCAGGACGTATTCGCAACCACTTCAACATGTTTTAAAACGTTCCTTCCGATTGATTGTCGTTAGTCTGCTGGTTGTTAAACGAATACGACGATGAGCAGGGCAGCAGTTAGCAGCACGATCACCCCGTAGTAGCAGCTAAGTTTGCGGTGTCTGTGCACAACTTTGCGAGCTGCTTTCGTTTGCTGTTGCACTGCTGCATCGGTTTCATTGACATGCACGACTGTCTCGTCCAGCATTGCATTCTGCATCAGGACTTCTTCATTCGCCGCGTCTGCTGCAAAATGAAGCTGCTTGACACCTGAGTAGATAGCATCCAGTTGTTGTTCCTGATGCTGTGTAGCCTTGGCCATCCGATCCTGAAGCTTTGGCGTCAAAACTTCTTCGAATGCACCCGTAGGCTGTGCCTCACTTTGAATGATATCTTCCATCATCACGTCTACGCCAACTGTGCTGATGCTGCTGTTTTCGTTGTGAGAAGCTGATGAGCTGTTAGCTATTCTCCGCCGCGTCCCAAGGATGTAAATAACCTGGTTGGGAAGCAGGGGATGACAATACTCAGGTCAATGCAACGTCTATTCCATATCACGCCACGTTAGACTCGATAATCACTCCTCCTTAGTGGCGTTCATGTACTTCTTTAGTGGGGCAACCGGGAGCGGCGTGGCCAACATGTCATCCGTATCCTCGCTTTCCATAGTGGATGGGGTCTTGGCCTGACGGAAAAGGTGTCGAGGACGACGAAGTAGCACTAGAGCTGTAATCTTGCCTTTAAACAACTTGATGGTGCGTAGTGACTGGCGGCTGAGACTATCCCACACATGCACTACGCCGCTCTCGTCTCCAGATACGAGAAAGGCACCACTGGCATGAATCCTCAATGTGATGACACTGCTTTCGTGCCCTTTGAACGAGTCGGGAAGCAAAGCTTCAGGGCCCCATGGTGATGCGTTAGTACTAGTAGCAAACGATGCCCCATGCAGTGAAGCATTGGCAACACGTGCAGTAGCAGCAGTGACAGCAGTCGCAGCAGCATTCAAGTCCAGCACGTAGATCTCGCTGTTGCCGCAGCCCATGAAAAGCCGCTGTTCCATGGGGTCAACCACGCATGCATTGACGTAAGACGGGCACGAAACACTGTACAAACACTGGGACGAGTTGAGCGCCCAAATCTTGCAGGTGCGATCGAGAGACGATGTGTAAATACGAGCGTTTACGCCCCCTAGACCCACATGCAAGGAGGTGACGGGCAGCACGTGATCCGTAAAGCTCACGACAGGCGTGACTCCCTGTTGAAAACTAGACACCGTATCCGGTGCGTCCAGCAAGTCCAATAGTCTCCACACATGCACCAACGCATCTTCTCCAGCTGTAACCAAGTGCGAATCCTCGGACGTAAGAGCTAACGCCGACACGCGCTTGTAATGCGCATCAAAGACCGTGACCAACTCGCCCGTCTTGACATCCCAGACGTACACTTTGCCTGATTCGGCCCCTGCAAAGAGAAAATTGCCACAACTCGAAGACGTCACGGGCCCCATCTTCTCGGCGACGTGGCACTTGAACACTGGCATGTTATTGCCCCAACTGTAGAGGTTCAGCACCAACTTGCCCTCCTGTACAGCCACGACGTGGTCCGTCCGAGGGATTGCGTGGACACCATTAAGTGCGGAGCGGCAGTTTTTCAAGCAGTACAATTGGCCTCCAGTAGCTGCATCAACAATGAGGAGTTCGTTCGCTTGGCTTGAACCCAGTACCAGCACGTGATCCGCCAAGGCAGTCGTCGCCATGGTAATCAATCTGGATTATGTCAAGCTTTGAGAGCCATTGCTTTGCGTCCGTTTGATTCGTGGAAATAGGTTTACATCGTGATGAGCCGTCTGGTGATTTGCTGATAATTGTCGTAGCCTGCCTGCCAACCATTTTGAGTAGCTAGAAAAGAGTGCACTAAGATGGGACGGGAAGGGCAGGACAAGCGCAAGAAGCAGTGGATGGGCGGCCGCGATGGCAACAATAAACGTCATCGAGGAGCGTTAGGGGTTGCAGCTAATGCGAAAGGACACGGGGCAGTACTCGTAACATGCGACAAGATCAGAGAGCGCCAGAGCGTCAGTGATGCGCTCAATGTTCTGAACGAAGCGGCCGATCGATTCTTCCCGGCTGTAGAGGAATCGAATGAGGACGGGGTCCAGAAAGACGCCGATGAAAAGAAAGACTCAGTGCAGACGAAGCTACAGGAGGAGATTGACGCTCTGCAGACGCAGGCAAAGAAGCGTCAGACGGGCAGGTTCACACCTTTGGACACTGGAGTCAAGGGCACCGTGCTGATTCAGTTTAAAGACGACAGTATGTCTCCTACAGCCCTACTAGCTAAAATCTTTGAGCAAGTGGAGCATTCCAAGGACTTTGCATCGAGGTTCATCACGAGGATGATCCCACTGGAGAAGATCGGCTACTCGAGTGTGGAGGCGATCAAGGAGCTCGCTACCCCGATGATTCACGAGCACGTGAAGGCTTATCGCGAGGAGCAAAAAGCCGCAGGCACGGATGAGCCGCTTGAGTTTGCAGTAGAGTTCAAGCGTCGCAATTGCACTGATCTCAACAGCAAGGACGTCATAGATACGCTCGTCGAGTTGGTGGGGGAAGACAAGACCAAAGTGAACTTGACGACGCCCCGCTCAGTTTTGATGGTTGAGGTCATTCGGAACACGTGCGGCTTTAGTATTTTGACGGACTTCAATCGCTTCAAAAAGTACAACGTGCGCTCGGTAATCGACCCGCCTCGACCTGGTCAGCAGACGGCAAAGAAAGGAAAAGGGACTCACGATAAGGTAGAGGAAAAGAATGAAGTGGCCGACGTCGATGAATGTGCCAAGGAGATAGAAGAGAAGGAAACGAGTAGCACCGAGGTGACAGCGGACGACGCGTAATGCGCACAACTCGGTTGTGGTGGCTCATAAGAAGTGACATATAATCTCGTTGTATTTCAAGTGCTGGTTCTTTTTGTATGCTACCCTCGCGTCACACACGGCCTGAGTTCGTCTTGAGTAATACGCACGCGTAGGCCATGCAACACGCAGACTAACAAACTAAATTGCCTGATTTTACTTCAGTGAGTGCTGCTGGCAAGATGTCGGGATGATGACTTTATATCTGTGCCTGCGTGCGACCTTAAAAAATGCAGTTGACTTTTTCGTTTTGCCATAATCACTGTCTCGTGGCGAGATGAGAACATAATCTCCACACTACCGACTGTAACTAGTCATCGTCGTTCAACGTCTTGTGCACCTCACCTTCGAGAAAAGAGAAAAAGGCAGAGAACCCAATCCGGGACACCAATGACATTCACAACGGGACGGAAGATATAGAACAGAAACCCAGCACGCCTCTTAGCTTCATATTGATCTTTCAAATTACACAAGCACAAAGGCTCACTCTCCTGGCACGAGAACGCATTTCTTCCATTTGTGCCGTGAACGGTCTCCAACATCATTCAAGTCAACACCAGACAACTCTGTCACAGCCAGCTAATCGAGCAAATAGCGCCTCTTCCGACCTCAGGCGGTTCGATGCCACTAGTCACCCAAGTTCTCTTGACATGCTAGATAAAGCGATCTGTTGGTGAGTTATCACGGGCCAAGCTTATTCCTCCTAAAACATCATAGCAAATGTCAAGATAAAAACAACGATCAGTCAATTTGTCAACCATACTTCAAAGGCGTACATTGAGCCCGTAGAGGCTCACCGATAAACTAAATTCGCACCGCACATACCTTGTTCTTATTCTTGCGGTTGCGGTGCTTCTTGTCAAACTTCTTGGCCCAGTGCTGGTTGCGCAGGAACTTGGGGTCAAGCTAAAGTTTTGTCAGCACAAAGGAAGAGCACACAGTTGAAATTGGTAACGAGTTGTCTATGTGAAGGGACACATCTCGTGTCTCTTTATAGACACAAATCAAAACGTACGCCACGCGTAGAGGTAAAACGGTGGATCTTTGGCTTCTTGATACCATTGCGGTGAGCCTTCACCGTGTTGTTACGGGCCGTGTGGTTTTTCTGCTTCACCATTTTAACGTCGACGTGGCTTGGGTTTCTTACTGTGGAGACCTTAACGCAGCACTGTATTGTCTTCACACAAACTTTCGGCTCGACTGCTGTCCACCAGTTTTTAGATATACGTGCACCACACAAATACGTGTGCGGTACACCATCCCGCACTGGACCGGATGAAATTATTTTGTGTGCGCCACACACGATCGATCCGATGCGGTGATATCCTTCGTTTGAGCATAAGTCCGTGTCGCAGGTTTGCGTCCCACTTGCAATTTAATAAAAAATTACAGACAGAGAAGGGAGCAAACAGTGAGCACGCAACACCTCCTCTTTAATCAACGCCGAGTTCGTGATGGATCCATTTGGAGACGACAACGCGGTCGAAGAGGGCGTGTCTCAAGAAATCGGGGACTTTGTGCCTTCCAGGGTCGCAATTGGAGAGTATGTGAGCACTTATTTGGTAGTATCTTATATCCTGTGAAAATGAATACTTTGTCTCATTATAAAACGTGCACTGAATATGTATTTTTGCAACATGTGGATATACATGATTTAGCTTTTACGAAGTGGAGCCAGTCGAGACCGAGACAACCGACACGTACGAGAATCAGATGGAAGCTTCTCAGACTTTTGAAGCCAGTCATCATCAAATGGAAGAGTCGTCAGGATACTCATTCGAGCAGTACGGAGAGGGGCCTGTCCACGCTCCGACGAGCATGGAAAGTTCGGGGCACATTCCGTTTATTGAGGAGGAAAACGAGCTCACGTACGTTGGGCTGTTGGGTGGACTCTTTACTACTGGAGGAGGAAAAAGCTGACGATTCTGATTGTGGGCAGCGTGTTTATGCGCGAGTACGAGCAGAAGATAGCGCTCAAGGCGCAGGAGCAGGAGCAAGTGGCGGTCGAGTGCAAGGCGAAAGCGGAAGAAGGCATGGCGCAGTTTGTTGCAGAGCGGCAGCGCATCAAGGAGGCCAAGATGCAGGCGAACCGTGTGGTTGAACAAGCTGCGCTGGAGAAGATGGCGGCCGACCTGGAGAGTGAGAACCCGTGGGAGCGTGTGGTGACGCTCGTGGACCTGGAGATGAATCGCAAGAAGAAGCTCGAGGCGCTGGATACGAAAAAAGACTCGAAAGAGCAGGACCCGAAGCTGGTGGCCGTACCTGCGAAGAAAACGTCCGTGGACGAGGAGGATGTCTCAAGGATGCGCCAAATGTTCGTGCAGCTCAAGACCGCGCCGCTGGAACAGACGCGGGCTAGTGCTGTAGCAGCGAACTAGGCCCAGTCGCTGGACAAGATCGAACTCGCGCGTCACATGGTGAAATGGCAGCCTCAGGGAGGCGATGAAGCGATGTATTCGAGTTGAAATGGCATGATGCTTATGCTACGACTGTTGTTCGCCGCGGGCCATTATGGATGAACCATTATGGAGGAAGCATTAGCGCGTGAATACATGGTTACCAGCAATCGCATCTTGCTCGATACACTGTTTGATCATCACTGCGACTATTCTGCGCACCGTGGCTCGTGAAGCCATCTAGCCTTTCGAATGACCACAATGATGGTGACAGAACATGCAGTCGACCACAAGCGCGCATCATAATTGCAGACTAGCACAGGAAGATTACTAACGATGCGTTGTGTACACTTAGTGCTGATTCAAACATTCCGGTAACAATCAAGAATTTTTGGACGCAGTGTAGGAGGAGAGAAGATGTAAAGAAGGAGCTGCAGCTGAGGAGAAGGCAATTACAGACAGATTGACCAAGTTCAAGTAGATCCCCTCTTAGGCAGCGCCTGCACCTTGCATAAACCTGTTCCAGGAAACCCACCGTTCTGCGTTCAAGCTACTCCCTAGCCTACAAGGTGACATTCGCAGTGCCAACACTACAGAAAACCACCTCGATGCTTGGTTGGAATAGGTTTACTTCCCCACATTTGGTACAAAGTCCTCATCTAGACACGTATACCTAGCTTCCTGCTATCAGCTAGACGTTGGCGACCACAGAACGACTACGAACGACCCCGGTGGACGTCCATTCGTATCAGATAGTAGAGACTATTAAATTCACTGACAGGGAAAATCAATTGAATTGCACAAATCAAATTGAGCAATTCAAACGCTTTGCATCGAGGTTTTTTTAAAACAAGGGAAGGATTCAACCAGTCAAACTGGGGGGGGGGCCAAACAATTTCCTGATTCCGGAAAGTGACAGCCATTGAGCACCAGGATGCGCTCTCTCTGCTACGTGCTCATGGCCGTTGTCATTCACGGCTGGAAAAGAAATCAGCTAATAGCTGCGGACAGCACCCGGACCAACCTCACCGCTCACCACTCTTCCGATGATGTTCCTCACACGATGAATCAAATGGCCGTCGCATCAAGGCTTGAAAAGCCACACGGCTCCGCTTTGGACAAACCCGACCTCCAAGGCCAGACCAACGAAGATAGGGCATCTGCGGGGTCAATTCTAACGGATTTGGCCTTAAAAGTGGCGGAGACGATCGTGAATATTGGGCCTTTTAAACTGAAGTCTATCCAGGATGCTGTCAAGCACAAGAAAGTGAAGAAGACCTTCGAGCAGGGGACGGTCATGGATCAGAACAAGTTTGTCTCGCTGCTAGTTGACGAGTTCTCAGTTCAGAAACCTCGTTGGTACTACGGAGAATTGATCGACTACATGCTGAAATATGTTACGAGGAACGGAGAAGAAGTACGTCGTGTACAGCCCGAAGAATTAATGGAAGCTTTTCATTCACTTCGTGCAATACCTGACATGAAAGATCACGCCGACCGCCTGCAGGTAATGCTGTTAAGGAAACACGTGCCCACGCTTTGGGAACCACTGATTGCTCTATGGGTGAAGTCGCGTTTGACCCCGGAAGACGTGAGTGGGATATGGACAGCTGGTAAGAGAGGCGACTTCCTGAAAGTGTATCGTGAAAATGATGTGGGGGACAGCTATTTGACCGCTCAAAATTTGATAGCGGAATATATCAAGGAGTACGAAAAAGTGAACCCCGAGAGTGATCGCGCTGCCCACAAAGAGCTGCTGAAGTATTATACAAATCAACAACAGGCTATACTTCAGGCTCGAGCCTTCAAATTGGATCAAATAATGACGCACCATATGAGTTGAAGGGTGACTGAGCTCAGCATTTGACTCCCAGGAGGCGGACCTGAACGCAATCCACCCTGAGTTCGTGTCCAGCACGTGGGAAGCAACGCAGAGTAGATGTGGCGATACGCTAATTTTCTGTCAACGCTTCATTGACGTGGTGTTGGATACGTTTTCTTTACTGACTGTGGTAACAGTTTGATCGAACATGTACAGCTCGGCAGTCTTTGTCCTACATTTAGAATTCGGTCTCGTTGTTTGCGTTGATTAGGATGAAGTTCGGTGCTCACTACACGCTTCGCCGGTGTCATAGGAGCATGGCAAGCAACAGCGCTCATGATCCATGGTGAACAAACGGAAGTCATTAGCCTAACAAAGCTGTCAACATTCACTTTTTATCTGTGCGTGCACGAGATCAGTGCTCCAGTTTAGTACGAAAGCGCTTGAAAAGGAAAGGTTCATTCCCGTGGACTAAAGACCTCATGCCGTAGTGCTCGCAATCAGTCGCCTTCGGATCAATTTGTGTCACAAACAAAGCTAACCATCTATGGCACCGGTGGTGATGTCGTCGAGCATTGTCGAGCCTTGCGAAAAAGATTTGTCGCAGGTCGTGGGGTTAGCGTCCTGGGGGCTAGCACCTCGGAAGCTAATGATTCCCACAATTTGAACAACTGAGAAGAAAGTGAAAAACGGACTTCTCTGTTGGTGTCCATACGGTGCCAGAACGACTGGGATAGTTTGGCAGCAGGTTGTCAATGTGTCTCGAAACTCGGTCCAGCACCTGTAACTTTTAAATGTGACCATGTTAGCTGCGCAGTCCGCTATCTTTGACTGCCTCGACTACCGTCAGGTCCTCATCAATATTTGCCATGCTGGTAAGGCTTTGCTCCGCTTTCCAATGTCTTTCTGCTATTCCGTTTAATGATCTTCTATCCTTCACTCCATTTGACCCCTCAGCTCCGACAGCACTTGCATCCGTATGATCGTCAACGAGCTCGATCTGTTCTCGTTTAGCCTTAACGCAGCAACGTGCATCAAAGACATTCGAATACGAACACGACGGTGGTCGAGTTTTTGTTGCTATGCAATAGCATTGAAAGTGTCAATCAAGATAAAGGTGAATCAGGATCTCATACGAGCATGAACCTCAATGAGAAAGCGACTTGATCAAGTAAATTCTGTCGCAGCGCCACTCGAAACTCGTCCGAAGCAACATCGCCTATGTAAGCTTCACATCGGTCCATGCGAGCGTCTCTGAAATTGACACTCAGTAAGACATGCGGTCGTGAAGTAATTACCAGAAACAGAAGATGCATATAATGCATACATACACACGGTCGCGATGTAATCTGTGGAGACAGAAGATGCATATACTGCATACATACACGCGGTCGAGCATCAGGCAGTGCGTTCAGTGCAGGTGCGTTCTCGATATCGTAGAGCTTGACGATTGCGTAGCTCCAATCAACACTGTCTTTACCACTTTCTTCCATCCTGGCATGCCCAGTAATTAAGCCTGTCGAACAGTCCTAGACGTTTTACATCCAGAGAAGCTGCACGACTGCAGGTAACCTGATCGATATATTGCAGTGACTTGCGCTTGAAGACCAAGTTTAGACGCCAATTGACCATGTTCATGGCGACTTGGTTGATAAAAAACACCAATAGAGTCTGCGACTCTGCAGGATCGAGCGCATCAAAGTGTCTACGATTACATCGACATTCCATCTCCGCGTCCAATTACCGCCCTGACCTTTTCCTTCCTTCCTCTCTATCTCTCTGACTGCTGATACACGTAACCTCTTCTTCTCTCCCCACCGACCCTCATGATCGTCGCCACGGCACGCTCACCATAGCTCTACACCAGGCAGCATCACTTACTGTGCAGACATTCTCCACCTCGTTCCATCCCTTCTTCTGCCCAGCCACCCTCGACCGAGGTCCCATCAATCCAAAGACCCACACCACATGCCCTCCCTTCCTAAACTCAAGGTAAGACAGCAATGCACTGGATGGCCGCAGTACCAGCAACAGCAGCAGCAGCAGCTTCGACACTCCCCGCATTGAGCCGTCCTAGAACGACGGCGGCGCCAGCTTCTGCTCTTCCAGCTCTGCATCGTTCCTCAAGTCTCCGGCCACGTTCGCTTCTGGTTGTGGAGCAAACCACTCGTTCACCATGATACTCACGCCTTCAATAGCTGCCAGCAAGACACCCCCAATTAGGGCTTGACCCGCAGCTGCCCGTGGTCCCGCTCGAGCGGCGAGGGCCCCACCAGTAGCTGCACCGGCTAATATCGAGTTCCACGGGTCCTCCTTCCGTCGCAGCGCCTCGAACGAGCAGTCAAACGAGGAGAAGAGCAGTCCCCAGACAGCAAATCCACCGGCGAGCACGGGCGTGCGCATCTTCGCATTGTAAATAGCGCCACGGAACCGCTGACCTGACGGCGAGTTGCGCGCGCCTTTGAACGTGTACCAGCCTGAGCCAAAGACGGCGCCGAGGACGAAGCCACCGCCGGCGTCCTCGACGATTCGGAACGGACAGGGCTCGCGCTCCATTCGTTAGGGACTCCTGAGTCACTGGGGTTCGATAATGGGCGGCGGGGATTTCGACAATTAATTTTCGCACATTAAGATAAAGCGACGAAATCGGAGAGAGAGAGAGAGATGTAACGGATTTTTGCGAATCGAGGTGAGACGAGAATTGTGTTTTTCAGTACTGGGTGTAAGTTGAGCGAAATTCATTACAGCGACTCGATGAGTTGGCAAGGTGTAGTACATTGGTAGCTGACTAATGATAGATGGCGTCGGAACACCGGTGGAGCTGTATCCTACGCTGCGAGGGTTATTTGATTGGTTGATTAAAAGACGGCTTCTCGCGGGATATTGCCTCGCGTTGAAAAGTGCGGTGGATCGATGATATTGTCGATCGCACTTTATCTACTTTCAGCAATGTTGTCTACGTGGCGCTCGGGAAGATCGAGAAGGTGCATTTTTACTGGCAGTACAACCATAATCTTGTACTCTAGGTACAGCTGCTTGCAAGGAGATTTCATGTTACGAGTTGTTGCTGCCAGTTGCCCACCTGGGGCATAACCTATCGAGATGACGTGGGTGAATGTGGAAGGTTATGCAGTAAAGAGAAATGCGAACGTTCGTTCTCTGATACAGGGCGTTTATCGTCAGAGTGGTAGTGTCAAACATACTGGAGCTGACGATTATTTCAAGTATGCCCGCCACTGCATTGCGGCTGAGAACGACTTCTACGATGCAGCAGACGATATTCCATTGGGGACACCGATCCCCAGTAGTTGTTTTCAACCCACGACTTCATCGACGCAGCATCGTCTTCTGTCAAGTTGGAACTCACATACTGGTAAGACACCCAATTGAATGAATTGTCAACCTCTTCTTGCTAAGCATAAAGGTCAATAATTTACAAAAGGGAAAGGTTAAACGAACCGGTTGCGAGTGAATCATCGTACCGGCGACTTGTTTTGGCCAAGGGAAAATTAAAAATGCCCCATTTTTCACAAAATTAAAAATGCCCCACATAACCAAAATGATAAAAAAAAGGATGCCCCAGATAACCAAAATGATAAAAAAAAGCCTTGGATAATTGAAAACAAAAATGCCCCATGTCCACATATACTCTATTTTACGTAATTAACGTTGAAACGCAGTGACTTTTGGAGAGAGATGCGACTGATGTCTAGAGGCGGACGACTGATGGCAAGAGGCGAGCGACTGATGGCAAGAGGCGACTGATAGAAAAGGCACAAGAGAGTTCTAGGTAACGTACGGATTCAAGTTTGCATTGTAAGTCGTCTAATATATTTTTCAGCTCTACATCTACCATTTCGTGAGCACATGGACAAACAACAGGTTATGAGCCCAACGGACCCACAAGACACTCACGCTGCCAACACCGATACCAATGCTGCAGACCCGACCGTAACCCGGGTCAGCGCAGAAGCGAGTGACGGCGCGGAATCTCCTCGAAAGAGTGAGAGTAGAGCCTCTGAACATGAGAGCGACCGGATGGCAGATTGGAAGGACTCATTGGAAGCTTGATACGCGATCTGGAGCGGGAACGAAAAGATCGGACTAAGCAGCCTATCGCCGCGTCTAACGTCCACATGGCAAGCGCAGGAAGCGTATTTAGCCAGTTCTTGGCGGCGAAGAATGGTAGAGCAAGAGCGGACTCAGTTAAAGAAGCGATTGGGATTGCACCAGCAAACCCCGCACCACCATTCATGGCACCGCCGCAGCAGAATCAAGCCCCGGAGCAGTTCTTTCCACCAATGCAGGAGCCGGCGGCTGAAAGAGAATTTCGACCACCACAAAACTATGGATACAAGATCCCAAGTGTTAAGGACATGAAGTTACCAATTGAACGTTTCACGGGCAAGGAAGAATATCCAGAGCTAAGATCTGGATTTAAGGACTGGGGTCTGCAGTTTCTAGACGAGCTCGTTGCGGCACAGCTTGTCAGTGGGTATGATTGGCCAGAAGAATTCAAGCTGAGAACATCTAACCGGTACCTGGATGGCTAAGCTAGAAAATACTTCGACAAAATGAAGGCTGGCTGGGCGACAGAAGTGTTTACCGTGGAGCACCTGATGAACAAGATGCTTGAGGTGTACGAGAAATAAATAACGGTTGACCAAGCAACGAGATTGATGCAAGCGAGAAAGACGAGCAACAGGACCTGGATTGATCAGTATCAATACTTGATCGCGGTAGCGGGAGCTGCGAACTGCCCCGATCGGTTCGTTCTTCAGTATAACTGCGAGGGTGCGACACCGGAAACGAGACGTGCGATGTATACTCGTCTGGATAGGCGTCGCGAAGATCACTTAAGACAGGCTTGGGAGCTAGAAGACTTTGCGAGCACTTTCGAACAGTATGCGAGTGTGGACAGTGGAGCGAGGAACCCTTCAAACGGCCGAGGGTACGGTCGTGGTGGCGTCAAAAGACCATAGCAAACATGGTGGCCCCAAAGAATCGAAAGCAATGTTACCAATGCAACGAAATGGGTCACATCAAGCGATACTGCAAGAAGAGCGCTGACACGTCGCACGCAGCGTTCACATTGAGCTTAGCGAATGGCAACGATACCTCGAAGTATACCTGGATCCTGGACAGTGGTGCAAGCCGTCACCTGATAAAGGACCCAGAATTGCTTGTGGATGCAAAGGATTGTGACGACTCATGCGAGGTAGCCGACGGTTAGACGATCAAGGTCAGCAAGGTTAACAGTGTAAACATGCTGGTGCGCGTCGATGGTGAGCAACGATCAGTCACAGTCAGTAATGTGTACTATGTCAAATATTTGGCGCACAACTTACTATCATACTGCGAGCTGGAAAAAAGGGGCGTAGTGCTGTCTTACACGGATGGACAGCTATATCTTGAGCGTACAAGTGATAAGGCGCACGTAATCGAGGTCATAAAGGAAAATAATGTCCTAACAATAGACGTGGAGGCGCTTTCTACGTCCGCAGTTAGACGTGATGCGGTGTATGCAGTTATGCGTACAAACGACCAAGAGACCAAGAATGATGGCAAGATTAAGTGTACGCTATTTGAGCTGCACACGCGATTGGGACATCTCTTTTTCGATACCGTCGAGAAGATTACCGACGCATCTTCATCAGGAATCTGCCTAATCAACCGCATTCGCCCAAACTGCCTTACTTGTGCACAAGGGAGGCAAGGAAAGAACGGCCAGTCAAACAAGGACACCGGCAATAACTCTCCAATAGATCACATCGGTACAGTTATTTGCAGCGATCTCAAGGGGACAATGACGCCCATCGACAGAATCAAGAACCGATATATGGTAAATTTTATCGATCACGCATCGAATTACTGTCGAGTTTTTGTGGCCAAGACCAAGGGTCAGGCTGCAAAGATGTTCAAGCATTTTCTCGTTTACTTCGAGAGGATGTTCTATTGCAAGGTGCACGTATCACGCACAGATGGAGGAGATGAATACAAGTGTGTTGACTTGTTCTGCAAGTGTACGGGATTGAGACGCCAATTAGTGAAGCCAATAATCAAGCCTTAAACGGTAAAGCAGAGCGAATGCATCGCACAGTGCTTTAAATGGCGAGGTGCATGATTTTTGTGAGTGGTCTACCCTTATATTTCTGGGGAGACGCGGTTCAATATGCCACGTATGTTCTCAATCGCAATCCCAGCAGTGCGAGCCCAAAACGTATGTCGCCACTGGAGATGTTGACTGGAGAGATCCCCAGTTTTTTGACATCGTTGTATTTGGGAGCCCGTGCAACATTTACCGCACCCCTGGAAAGAGAGCATGGAAGCCTCGGGCTGATATGGGTATCATTGTTGTAAGCATGACGAAACGAAGGGTTAAAAGGTCTACTTACCGCGCGAGCGAGTGGTTGTGACGACACAACACGTCAAGAATGTTAAAACGCTGGATGAAGATGGAAATCGTCACCTCCAGGAGCAAGTTCGACGTGAGGACCCGACGCTCGAGAATTTAATGCCGGAACACGAGGAAGTTGGCAAACGGAAGGAGCAGTTAATCTTTAACGCGTCTAATGACTGCAACCCCGCTGATCGGAAGGAGCCGCAGAGCTGTGGGATAGAAAACGAGAAGCGCGGTAGTGGAGGCAAGGGATCCAAAGGCAAGTCGTGTCGCGTGGACACTGCTGTGGAAGACGCTGAGTAAATTAAATTAGACAAGCCACCGGTCAGACGAATTACCACAAGACACATGGGTACAAAGTATGTACCCGTTGCCATGATTGCCGTGACGACAGACCCTAAGAACTACTGTGAAGCGATGCAGTCAGCAGCAAGCAATGACGGGCGAGATCGAGTCGCTTGAGGCAAACGGCACTTGAAAAGTCGTACCGAGACCTTATGGGCAAAGATGTTGCACTCGAAATGGGTATATAAAACCAAACGACATGCTGACGGTACGCTGGAGCGATATAAGGTGAGGTTGGTGGCCTGCGGGAATGAGCAATCGCATGGCGTTGAATCTACCGTGACATTAAGTGCAGTATTGAATATGACAACGGTCAAAGTTGTACTTGCACTTGCAAGGGTGTGGCGCGTTAATGCGCGACACGGTGATGTCCTCAACGCATACGTGAAGGCGGAGAAGAAGGACGACCTGGAGATCTACCTGCATCTCCTCAAGGAACAATGATGGATGGAAATAAGGTCAAGGTAGCTGATCAAGGTGAAAGAGGCCAAGTCGCTTTGCGAATGGAGAAAAGTCTTCATGGCCTAAAGCAGGCTGGAATACTATGGGCTGAGCTCCTGCACAAGACACTCGTCGAGTTGGGCTTTGTGCAATCTCACACCGACATTCGCCTGTACTTCAACAGGAATCACTCTGGAACTACGATTGTCGGTGTGTATGGAGACGATCTTTTGGTGACTGGAACAGATACGACATTTGTTGACTAGTTATTCTAAGACATGCACGGACTAGAAGTGAAAGACCTCGGGCTAGTGACGAAATTTCTTGGCATGGGAGTGTCGTACGACGACAAGATTGGGTATGCACTTGAGCAAAATCGGTGCATTCGAGAGCTACTTGCCACAACTGGACTTGATCTGGCAAACCCAACGCGAACTCCTACTGGAGAAGATCAAGACGGTGAAGGTGAAGGCGATTTACTACCTAGAGGGAGCGGTGGAACAGCAAAGCAACCGACAATCGCCACGTTTCAGTCGCTGATTGGAAGTCTACTTTGGATCGCTCGTTGCACAAGACCTGACATCGCATTTGCCGTTTACTGAGCTAGCCGACGCTCGCATGCACCACGTGAGTGCGATTGGCGATGGGCTAAACGGATTGCTAAATATTGGTAAGGGACGATGGATTTATCTTTTCGGATGAAGGACGATAAATACAAGAAAAGGATGGACGTGTGCAACTCGAAGGCTGTAGTGACGCCGATTATGCGGCGGATCTTGAGGATCGCAAATCAGTCAGTGGTGGCGTGCTGTGTGTGATTGGAATGATCGTGGGTTGGGTCTGCAAAAAGCAAGCAAGCGTGGCTCTATCTACTATGGAAGTAGAGTTTGTTGCAGGTTCGCTAGTTGCAAGCGAGCTCTTGGGAATGCGTGAGCTCCTTGATGAGATTGGAATCAAGGTTACAGCTTCAATGATGCTGCATGTCGACAATCAGGCGGCTATTAAACAAATTACTGGCGAGGACAGCTCGGGAAGAGCGAAACATATCAACGTCCGACACAAGTTTGTTAAGGATTACAGCAAAAAGTAAGTGCTCAAGGTGGTCTACTGCGAGTCGAAGATGATGCGGGCTGACGTGCTCACCAAGACATTTGCTGCCCCGAGACAACGTGAACTGCGTCAATTAATGTCTCTGGTGTGAGGACATCCCGGGAAGGAGTGTTGAAACGCAGTGACTTTTAGAGAGATGGATGCGACTGATGTCAAGAGGCGGACAACTGATGGCAAGAGGCAAGCGACTGATGGCAAAAGGCGAGCGACTAATGGCAAGAGGCGACTGATAGAAAAGGCACAAGATAGTTCTAAGTAACGTACGGATTCAAGTTTGCATTGTAAGTCGTCTAATATATTTTTCAGCTCTACATCTACCATTTCGTGAGCACACGGACAAACAACAGTAAACACGCACGCAGTAACCAGTTGCGGGCGCAGACGGTACAGGTAAGATTAACGCGTTTACGTATCGTCGACCGCGGCCGTAAATACAGACAATCGGTACTGTTGTTGTAAAAACGACGGTGTTGCTTTAGATAACAATTTAGTTTTCGTCAGTATTAAATTATACTGTTATATTTAATCTCAATATTATTTTCTTCCAGTTGCTGCTATTTTATTTCCAGTGACGTTGTTGCTGGTGTTGTCGTAGCTTCTACTGCCGTGCCCGTATCCGTTGATGTCACTAATGTAAGTAATTGCGTGTTCCTGTTGCTTTTGATACCGCTGCTGCTAAAGTTGGTGTTGCTGATGGCGTTGTTGTTGGTACTGCTATCAGTGTTCGTGGTGTTTCTACTGTTTTGTGGTGTTGTTGGTACTACGGTGCTGCTGTTGTCATTGTTTAGTGGAGTGATAGGAATTCGTCTTCTGCTCATGCATACACTTTACTCGAGATTTGCTAAACATATAGCAGACCATCACGAGTCCATTCAGCCTTTTTGACTTTTATTTATCAATGCAAAAAGGCTTTACCAGTGCATATGACGACGTGTCAGTGCTGTTACAGGGATTGGTCGGTGCTGTCAATGTTTTCTAATTTTAAGGACAACAAGCTGGAAATGAAGAGCTCAGGCGGTAATGAAAACGCACACGTGACATTCGATTCGATCGAAGTGTTAACATACTCCAATATAGTTATCATAGTATCAATGAATGAATACAATCTGTATTCAAACGGAGAGCATACGGACTTCAACAAGATTTGTCGTACTGTATCCGCCAGCACTTTGTATGCGACTCCCTAACGGTTATATCTGGTGCCACACCAGCTACTGTGTTGTTCAATGCTCTACAAAACTACATTTAATATACTTATAACATAATTGGCAGTAACTAGTGGCGCTTCTAAACAGTAAGGACCTACACACCCGCAAGATTCGACCTAAGATTTTTCTTTACGGCACCAAGTTTCTCCGTTTTTTGCACCTTGCAAATATGTATTGACGTAATGTAGTGTTGTACGCGGGCACAGCATACGTCTACTCTATCACGGTATGTACCCGCGTGACTGTAATCGAGGGCTCATCTGCTTTAGAAACTCGGAGTACCAGCATGCAGCGTACGAAGAGTACTTATATTGTTAGGTAAAGCCCCACATCGGCGAAGCACAAGGTCTGTATGTGTTAACCACGATAACTAGAGTATACGAGGACGTAGGGCATTTTTTGGTAATTTTTATTTTTGTGAGTAATTGAGTCAATTTTCCATTTCTTCTATAGCCAATTAATATACAACATTTAACCGTAATCTGATAACCCAATCTGATTCTAATGATTTCATTACGATCTTGACATGCCTACCCTGCTTCGAATTTGAATCGTATTCAAAAACCGGCGATTGCCTGGAGGCATTAAGCTACAAAGCGAAAGTATTGATCAAACATGCGTCTATACATAGCCTAGATCCATTAATTTGAGCAGCGGTTACCCTTATGAGAGTCACACTACACTTGTTGCATGCGTTTATGCATGTTATATTGCTATCACGTCTTTTTTTGCGGAAACGGCTACATTAGCATCGTGGTGGATCTATTCCAGGTTGCAATATCGAGAGAACTGCTCTCACAGTGAATGTGATGTCAAGTACATCACGGTTTGCCGATGATGCGGATAACAAAAACGTCGTCGGCAAAATTGTCACTTACAATGAAGACGACAACAGCGACGACAACAACGACGCCGATATGATCCATGCATTCAACTATAAGAGAACCAACACTAAGGAAGGGCAAAAATTTTGGATGATCGTTTGATGGTGGCGGACTCTCAAAAGCTACCTCGCGAATAGAAACGAAAAAGACAATCATAGATGATCAATGACATGCATAGGTACGTCTTAAAGAAGCTCTTATGCTCCGCAAGGCTGTTACCACTTCACCAGCGCCACAACATCAGGTCTATATATATGGTCCTTATTAATCTCTGCTTTCTGCGTATCCTTATAACCTTGACTTTCGGAGCTCGTCACCTTTTAGCAATCACATTTACATCTAATTCGGTTTAAATTTTAGGTAGGGTAGGAATATCAAAATTAGAATGGAATCATCAGAATTAGAATGGGTACAACAAATGCAGCTTAATATGTTATACTTGATTGGCCGAAGTAAACTGCCGGTACAATGACCCACTCGCGACCGGTAAGGTTCAGCGTTCCCTTCACAACGTGCTACAGTCGCTATTATCTTTGCTTAACGTCCGGCGCAAAATTTTTAACGCAGCATCTAGTGCAATGGATTAAAGAGCATGTAGATTGACAAGTTGGTGCTGTGCTTTATTCGACCCGTACGAGGCAACGCTCTGCAGACGAGCCTAATCGTTTTTAGCGGTCAGTCGTCTGCTACAGCGGCCAAACCGCAACAATAATATCGACAAACATTGCACATTTAATTCACAAAACTGGCAGAGAAAAGAATAAGCCACGTTGAGCAGATAACTAAATTTCGAATTTGGCAGATACAGATGTAGTGAGGGCGATTGCCGTTATGATCGACGCGTCTGTAATAAAGACAAGACGTAGCGCATAGACAGTAAATAATTCGAATGTGAATAGAAATGGATCGATGATGGATTGATAATTTATGCCTAGTCAACCTGTAACAAGAGCCTACATGTATGTTTAAAGGAGATGTAAGTTCACGTCGAGGTCGAGACGTCTGGTGATATCTCTATACGATTACATGTACGCAAATAGTCCCAAACTATTCCTACAGATTAAAAAAATAGTTAGTTCGAGTTTAAAAGCTCCGTAAAGTTTCACCGAAGCTGCGAGCGTCATACAACCGGCGAAGAGTACTTTAAAGCGTAGCCGATGCAAGGCCTACCTCCTGTACTACTTATGTGCAAGGTTATATCGGTCAGACTATGCCCTGTCAGACTTGCTGCATCCAGTCTCGTCGTCCATTTGCACTTCGACTCAATGAACTCAACGAAGCTGACTATGTTGCCATCGTGCGTGGCTTAAAATTTCAACCGATGATGTCGAGGCCTGAAAACTACTTTAAGCTGAGTTTAGAAGGTGTACTACAGCAAATAGAGGCACCGTGTCTTGTATGACGCAGGCCTGCACATCCTGCTGCACGCTAGATTCAACATGTACCCATTCTAGCCCTTGCACCAAAGGAGGCATGGAAGATGCATCCTTCTTTATGGAGCCGGCTTGCGACCCAGAACCTGGGTGACCTTGGTTTTCATTCCTTTGCGTGATGCCATGCACTTTTATAGGGCATTTTAATTGCCTATAAAGCTTGCATGCATCTACTGTTATTTGTCGAGAGACCATCGCTTGCTGATACTAAAGTTCGAACGGGTTTCGGAATGCCTAGGTAGATAGGAGATCGATATCGTGATCTACCGATCGTAGGTAGGTGTATGTGCAAGGCTCAGACGGGAGCCCATTCAGTATGGAAACTCTCTTTTTACGGCCATGAGCGCCAACGCTTTTGCAGTGCGGGACTATCGCCAGCTTTCGTTGGACACTCGCCGTCAGTTCTTGGCTCACTTTCCCTGAGCCATGACAAGAGGCATTGTGGAGTACTTCAATCAGACTCTAATGAGGACCTTGTTCGTCTCTCGATTGCTTGTATATGGAAGATAAGCAATCGTTTGTATCGAGTCGATGCCCCTAGTTGTACGGCGCGTCGTTGCCGTAATATCTCACTACACTTGCAGCCAAATACATTACCTCCTTTAAGCTTCTGCCGACTTGATTATCTGAAGCATATGGTCCGTCTGCTCAGCAGGGTATCATTACCATCGTCAGCACAAGTGAGTAATCTTTTGCATTTGTAGAGATACAACAGCCTCAATATCTTTTAAGTCTTTCATTACTCCACCTTGTGTATAGTCTGGCCACTTGCTGCTTCTGTACACATTTTATCGCCGTCCGACATTGGCAGGTCTAAACGTCTTTGTTTGATATACTTATTCCTCTATCTTGTATCCTCCAGTACTAAATGGCACATAAATAGTGCTTTGAGTCGTGCTCTATGATACCATTCATCGTCCAGACGCAAAATCATTGCGTCTGCATGAAAAAAACCTTAATGCGTCATGATAAATTAATGAGATAGAGTTTATCGTTTCGTTCGTGAGATCGCTCGGTACCCATTTTGATCTCGTGTAGCATTATCGCACGAATGATCAGCAAATACATCGTGCGCCTGTACTGCAAGAGTCTTCTTTTCCTCGCTCCTAGCACAGCAGACAGTGTCTTATATTTGCGACATACATCACCTTGTGAATGAGCAATGCGAAGATGGAGCATGACTGCATGACTAAGCCTTGCAGTAATTTTTCAACATGCGGATGCTTAAGGCAGGAAAGCCCAAGAGATATCACTTTTTCTTCGTCTGGTATTCAGATGTATAATGGCTCGGTACGACAAGAGTTGTATTATCTGTAATAGTACCCGCAACTCTTTGACATGATCTCTCTTCACGTCTTCTGCCAACACAACAGCTATCTCATCCACTACAGAATCTAAAGATGAAAGCATTCAGGTCGCAGCTTCGTGTCACGACACGTCCCACAACCGTCGTCAGGTCACTAAGTTCCAATACAATTGTATATAACGCGACGACAATAAAACTCCCACGACATCGCATCTTAACCTCGACAAATATTTACTGCCTTTAAAGTGAGTTCTGGGCAGCAATAAAATCTATCGTTATCGGTGAATTATGACTAGCATCTGATGTTATACAATTTTTGAATTGTGCCGGCAATTAACAATGTTTTAAATTTAACCGAAGTTCTAGTAGATTTTTAAACCATCAAATGTCAGATTGATAAAGGTGAACGGTCAGCTTGTGATTTTTTGGTATTTTTACCGTCCAATCATCCATAACTTCCTTCATGATGATATCTGTAAGATTCTCGCCCAAGTTCGGATTCATGATGACGCCCGCGTCGTCGTCTACTTGAAACTCGTCTTGCCCGATATCGTTGTCTTCCTCCTCTTCCTGTTCCTGCAAGGTATGCTGTCGCAGTAGCCGCTCTTCCTCCTCCTTGCCGGTCACTGCTAGCACCATAATGTATAGATCGGAACGTATCATGGCCAACAACCGTTTCAGCTGCTCCGAGTTGTAGGCGATGGCGACCTGTTTCTAGCATTTGCCAAGCCTAAGACGAACACGCTGCTTGGTGCGCACTAGATTATTTTTCGTTTTTTTGCCACCTACGGCACTGAACAGATTGCTACACACTTGAACGAGTGTATTGGCGAGATCGCGCATGTTGCGGTCATCCGCTTGCTCCCATATTAAGGCATGCTTAAGCTTGCTAGTCGCCAGGATGTTCGTGCGCTCCATGCGCATCGAAGATAAGTTCGCGAAATTATCCAGAAAAAGATCACAGTGCTCCTGGTCGCCGGTGGCAATCTGAGCTAATGCAGTGCGGCATTGCTGAAGCAAGAGACCTTGGCTTAGCTCGAGGAATGACGATATGTGCAAGCCGTTCAGATTCGTGCTTATGCTGTAGTAGAATTGCTCGGTGACAAAGTCAAGCGCGTGAGTCGGTGTGCATGTCATTCACACGAGATGATGGACAGAACCGGGCTACGTGTAGTGGTACATATTGAGCACGGAGATGATTATCTGATCAATGGAAATCCAATGCGCGACATTAGTGAATAGGCCCACACTGCTGAGAACGTCACCTCTTCCCCCTCCAGGTGCGTGATTGCGGCGCGCAGCGGCTCAAGAGCTGCGTCAGTGAAGACGTCTTCTTCCGGTGCTGGAAGTTGAGGATGACACTGCGGACTGGGTCCTCCATTGCCACGTCCTCAGACTTATTATAATGATCGATGGCGTGAGGCATGCTTGTCAGCATGAAATTTACAAGCTTGTTGCGCTTAAGCATGTCAAAAAAAGTGCACCAGCGTATTTTCGTAAACAAAAGCAAGCTGTGCGTCTCGTGGAGCTTCTCGACGCAGCAGACATAGGACATCGACTTCATTATGTGCGTGCTTTCTTTGTTTTTGTTTGTGATGAAGACGTTAGCCGAGACAATCTGCTTGATTTGAAGCAACTTCAGCTAAACCGCGCAAAGGTGTGTCCGCCGAGCGCCGCGCAGCCGAAAACGAGCGCGAAAAGGTCGAGCTCAATCGCCTTCCGGCGCTAGGTTTTCTTTTTGAAACGCGAATCCGTGCCAAGACTCCACGTCGGCACTTGGGTGCGGGCTGCATTTCAATTCACGTCCACTTTCTCTAGCACGTCGATGTTGTCCTCTACATCCATGCAAAGCGACACACAAAGATGACAACGCGCGTCCTTCAGCCACTGATGAAGGGAGGCCGCGTCTCGAGATTTAGTCTCACAGAGAAGGGCATGAAAAAAAGCGAGAGGCCCACACGCTATCATGGTAAGAACCTGTTTTTCTGTCTAGTTAGTCGCTTCATCAAGCTTCGTTTAAAAACACATGTGCCCTTCGCCCGGATCGCCTTTTTCCTAGTCATTGCACTCTTTGTTATGCAGTCGCTCGCCGATTGCGTCAGGTTTTAGAAAGCGGTTCAAGGAAAGAAATCTTGGCCAGCCACACCTTTCTTTAATTGTCTGTAAAATCTTGAACGAGGCCGCTGAGAGATGCATCGCTAGCGCCAGAAGCTCGTCGGCTTCATTTCGATCATCGACAGTCATATGGCCACACAAACGAAGTGCAATGAGCGACGTGCGCGTCGTCAAATACAGCGCAGGGTGCTTGCTGGTTCTGACCTCAATCGGCTCGTCGTCCTCGTCCAACACATACTGGTGCGATATGCGCCCTGCGGGCAGCAATCCCAAACCCTTTAAAACCTTTAAGTCAGAAAAACAATAACTATAAGAAAGCAAGCGACGTCTTGCGTACCCCGGGTGGAATGAGGTGCCTTTGTTACATTGTTTTTTAATCAGGTAACTATCAAGTACGAATATTACGTTAGGGAAACCACAATACTCTCACACTATTATCCATATAAACAATTACTGCCTCGCAGATGTAACACATAGCTCGTTGGTTAATTTAAATTTGAGATTTTAACCAATAAAGTCTAGCTACGACAGAAGCACACAATGAGTGGTGCGAATGTAGTTACAATACATGTTTGTACTAAGACGTAGCTAAATGAAGTCAAATAGGAATTGATTATAAGGATTTATCAAAATAAGGACTGATCTACTCTTTACCTGTACTTAGTACGAAATGCTATTACTCCGTGAATAATCCTTTCTCTATACGCACGTGTACGTGAGGTAGTCGGACGCAGACACCCTTGCACTTTCAGCAGTGCAAGGTTTATCTAGCTAAAAGGATAAAGTGTGCCCTGTTACACCTGGTTTCACATTGTAGTCAATTTAAAAGATAATAATTATGTTGAATAATGAGGGAAATGAACTCTGTCCTGCGCATGAACGCTACTCTCATTTAATTTAAATTGAATGGGATGCCGCTGAACGTTTGAGTTCGACGATAGGACAAGAAGCGGCTAGCACAATGCGGTCCGACCTGTTGTCAGACAGACAGCACACCACCATCTCCAAGTTTATTCAGAATGAATTTGACGATGAGAAGGAAAATTGACCTTGCTTCACCGACAAGGTTCTCAACAGATAGAGCTGTTAAGACAGCAGCGGGTCCTGCTTCCGGAATAACGTACACACGTCGTCCCAGTACTCTAAATATTGGTATTTTAAATACAAGGGAGCCGACGAACTTTCTGTTGAGATGGTTAGTGGAATTAGGAGATGCCATAGATGTTAGCCAATTAGTCGATGAGATAACACAGATATCATTTGCTCAATCAATCTTAGCAGGGCGATCAAAGACGTGGACACTGGGCCTTAAATTACACGACTCATATTTCTGTGGTCCTTGGAAGTCTTTAAGTCCCGCTTGGGCAAATATTTGAGCCGCCGCGAGCTAAACTTAAGGCTCGCTCTGAATTCCTGAAAACCAAGCAAGGTAAACGTGACGTACACTCGTATATTCAGTGCATACGTCACCTTATCAGTTTCATAACGGTCGACCCACTGTACCAATAAACGTTATTTACGCTGCTCATGCAGGATCTGAATGATGGCCCTGTCAAAACCTACCTGTTCCAATTGGAATTCAACACCCTGAAAGTGGTTACAAGGTTTGCGAAACAGGAAGAATCCAGTGCGAAGTTGGCTCACGCGAGTTTAAATTCCTATCGTCTGTCGAGACATGAAGGCCTGGAATTCTTATCGTCGGTAGAGACATGGAGGCCAAGAAAGCAATGGACCTCAGTGACGTGGGGAGCAAGAGCTCTCGTCTTATTATTTACTAGAAAATCGTGCAGTCTGTGTCAGAATAAAGGGTATTATGCACACGAATGTAGTGCCCCGAACTCGGTACCATTTGATGCAGGAAGCAATAATTGTTAAGCGCCTAAGTGAAGTCCTAGGCGCGGATACGACAATGTTAAAAAGGCGCAACAACGTAACGAACAGCATTAAAAATGTTCAGAGTCAGTAAAATGCGAAGCAGCCTACTGATACAGTAACTTTAAGTGAATTTGTAGGCCTCTTGACGAGAATTGTGCCCAACACTCATTACCTTAAAATGAAAGTGACACAAACGTACCACATCAAGACCTGGTCGATTGCAGGACGTTAAACAACTTTGCACAACGCCGATCACTCTGTAATACCAAGATTAACTATACACAGCGAGAGGCCCCTCTAACGATGACGACGGTGCACCTCGACACAGGTACATCTGAAACAATGATAAAATATGTAGTGGGTATCATCGATACACTGAAGGGAGTCCAATACAATTATGACTTCATCATATTAGACTTGATGAAATAATTGGTGTTATTCTTGGACTACCGTAGCTCAGAAGAATTAAATACAATTTAGCTAACATCAACGAATTGTTGATTTGCTTGCCGCTTGTTCATCAGATATCCATCTGATGAACGTATGGAGCGTCCTCCACCATGTGTATGTACTACGAGCGAGTGCGATGGCCTCTTTTGCGAATAGATCGTTTGTACGACTGCACAAAAACGCAATATGGCTAAACATCATATTGCGGAGCAACCTACTGGCGACCTTATCACAACGCGAGAAACACCAAAGGCCCACCACTCGAATAAGTCGAGCGGTCCGGGTAAAGTTTGTCACCTCATGAACAGCACCCTTTAAATAAATAACCGATTGTCAATAGTTGTCTATGCTGTGATGAAATAGCATAAAAGGATAGATGATAGATAATAAGTATTTAAAGGACAGTGGCAAAAAGTTCCTATTAGACAAAAAGAGACACTGGATGTCCTGGTATATGAAGTATCAAGTATAGGCAAATATACACTTAACATATTTGTGCCATCGAAGTTGACTTTAAAGGTCAATCATGTACCCCTGCTAAATTAACAGAGAGTCTTGCGTGATCTGCTTAGTGGAAAGTCAAGCAGATCTGCGCACTCGTCGCGTAAAATGAGTACGTCAGTGATATCCGATTGACAAAGTTATTTGCCGAACATGAGCATGTTTGTTAGCAGCTTAATAATGGACGAGAGTATCCTTAATATGAAGACTTAAATTAACATAAATGCGATTCAATTGTGGAAAATACTCAAGGCAAAGCGAAACTTTACGATCATTTAACAGAATGTAGGAATGCATTCACAGAATCAGTGCAGGAAATTTACAGGTACAAAGAAATAGTCACAAATATTATTTAATACCGGGTGAATAGTACTGTGACATGAAGAAGTGGCCACTGCCTCGTAAACGTGTACTAGCGATTGACATATTCTTTGGCTACCGCTTGGCAGCAGGCCACAAGTGAGAATCTTTTTCACCACATAAATTACCGACCTTTAGTATCGGAAATGCAACAGGGGAATGGCGAATAGTGCATGCCTTTAAAAATGTTGAATGCTGCAACTCTACCGCCTCAAACTCCGATAATAAGACAAGATGTTATAAATGGTATTTCTAAGAGTACCATATTTCATCCATGGATTTGATGGACGGGTTCTATCATATCCTTATGCATACAAGAGCTATTCCGGACACGGCAG